AAGCATAGTAACTCCACTACTCTGCAGGATTGTCGAGGTTGGAGCGGGTAGAATGCCGCGGCTTCACTTCTTTGATCGGGACCTCCACCACATCACTATCGTCAAACAGCTCCCCTGACGACAGCTCCCCTTCCTCGCCACCAAAGACTTTTACGACGTCAATTGACGCGCCATCATCGAGTTGGTCCAAAATAGTCATCTCGCCTGCCGCCCGGTGCTCCCATGTCAACGGCGGCTTTTGCATATGGCCTCCAAGGTGCATCTCGTCATGTCGGCCGCCGGCGATGCCACTGGCCGGCGCCGAAGGCGACGAAGCAATGCTTCCCTCATTGCCGGAGGCCGACGATGATGCCGGCGTCGGCAGGTCAGCGACAAGGGGTACAGGGGAGGCGAGAGTGGGAGTCGAGGGAGGAGGGACGTCCTCGACGTCGCCTTCCTCGACGTCGCCGTCCTCGACGCCACCGTGCTTGCAAGTTTTGAAATTGCATGATATAGTTTTCCAGCGAAGGTCCTCCGAGAAACGCTGAGGAACCTCAATCTTGGGCAGCTACCGCCTCATCCCCGATGCCTTGCCAGGTCACACTTCTTGGGAACTGTTCCGCCACCCCTCGCCCGCTGGTGCGTACGTGCCAATCCTTGCGCACTCTGCGTCGTCTACGTCCGCGGCGTAGGCCTGGATCCTCCGCTTCCCTCTACTCGTGTGCCGTCCTCAATACCGGTCGCACCATCGCTGAAACCTCTTTGCCCTTCTGCTGCGCCGGCTCCTTCCGGCTGCAGCAGCTCTCCTTGCTCGACGTCTCCTTCCGTCATTTCTGCGACGCCCTTCATTAGCAATAAAACAAGGAAATGTCTTCCGGAATGCAGTCTCATTGATTGTTACGGTATTTGTCAACTAAGCTGGATCTAGGATCCATCCCATTCCACTCCTCCTGACGGCCTTGGCTAACACAGGTCTCTCGTGAAAAAGAAATTGCAATAGTACATTAATCAAGAACATACAAACCGGGCAGCCCCATGGCCCAATTCCTCCTAGTACTACCCTCCTATCCACGGCTATACCAAGCTCCTAAGGAAGAGCTAAGGCAAAAGCGCATGGCTATCCAGATCCATACTAACACTGCCTCCAGCTGCTCCGTTTGGTCCATCAGGTGGACTCAAACGCTAGTGAGAGCCCTGCGTTGAGCACGTGATGTCATTCCGGAGGTCGGCTTCACAAAAATCTCCTGGACAACATTCACCCATGCGTTGGATAGCGCAGGCAAGCAACTTGCACCGACCAGCTCGACGATGCTCAGTCAAACAGCTTTCGCCGAAATGTGCACGTCCAGCAGAACCCGTTGACTAGCACCTTTACGGGCTCGTTGGCCGGCGTCCTCTGCTGGTGATGTCAACGCATCCCATCGAGCAAGGTCTGCTCGACCAACTCTTCCGCATAACCTTATCGACTAGACAGCCTCATCGACCTAGTTGCCTAAGTTGGCGTCGACTTCTGCGAGCAGTCAGCGTCGATTTCTCCAGACAGGTCGTGGTCGACTTTTGTAAACAATCAACGTCGACTTCTGCGGGCTGTCAACTACACATCCTGTACACCCGACTAAGAAATCGGCTTCACCCAAGTGAGGGCGGGGCCACACTCCCCTGCCACGCTCGCAATTGGGAACCCCACACACTAGGCATACCCAGAACCCGTACAATGAGAAACTCTGTCTGCATCTAACCAGCACATAGCACGCAGGTCACCGCACCAGCCGTGCAGTAGGGCATGGCACCTACTGCTGCACCTCGTCATCCCCGTCGCCGACGTCGGCCAGACGCACTTGACCCATCACAACGAAGCTCTGGTTGAAGGCCGGAAAGTGTAGAAATTCGGTCGGCTGCTCGGATGTCGGATGTTGGATGTCGGAGCGATCTTCCCGCGCTTCACCATGTGCTGCAGCCACGCGCAGCGTTGCTCCATGTGCCTGCGGTTGCCCTTGAGCCCCAAGCCATGGCCGACTGGTTTTCCACGTTCAGCACTGTCGGTTTTCCAGCGTCAAGGAGCTGGAACTCGGCGAAGAGGAAGCAAAGTCGGCGTGCCTCCTTGCCGGCTTCGGTGGTCGTGACGTACTCCGACACGGTCAATGAGAGTGTATTGCACTTGATACACTGACTCGTCCAGGAGACAGCGGTCCCGCCGAGGACGAACACGTAGTCATTCATGCTACAACGGTTCTGCTTATCACCAGCCTCGTCGGAGTTTGCATAGCCGACCAGACGCATCGACCCTGGTCTACCACCGTACTCCATGGCAATGGCACAGGTGTCGGTGAGGTAGTGCACGCAGCGGTCTACCTCGCACCAGTGGTTGTCGCTTTGCATTTTCAGGCCGCTCCCCAGATTGCTGCGCGTGAAGGCAATGTCCAGCCTCATCGTGGTTGCCGCGAACTAGAGCGAGCCGACCTTCTTGCTCACGCAACTGAGCCTCCTCGTTGTCGAAGGTTAGCTCTGCATAGTCGTCGATGGAGATTGGCGACTTTGGCACCCGACCAATCCACTCCTTGTCAATGAACCGCTGATGCACCTTGTCGATGTAGGTCTGCTGATGAAGCCATGGCTTCCTCTGCTTGATCGCTCACAATTTCTAGCCTGAGGTACTTCTCGACTAGGCTGATCTCGCGCAACTCAAAGGCGGCCTCCAGCAGCTCCTTCAGCATCATGAGGCTACTTTTGGCGATAAAAAGGCTCTCGACGTAGACGAGCACCTAGCACGCTACTCCAACATCACCGACCTTGAAGTACAGGGCCATGCCGACATGGCTCTTCTGCCAATTGGTGCTGGCCAACACCACATCGAGCGCCAAGTACCACAACAGAGACGACTACTTCATCCTGTTGAGGCTTTTTAAAAGCTTGTACACTTGGCCGGTCCCGTCGTTGTTGTAGTCCGGCTAATACATGTAGAGCACGTGGTGGTGCTTGGTCTTCAAGAACGTGTTTTTCATATCGAGCTGCATTACGTGCAGGTCGAGGACGATGACGATGCTGAGAAAGATTCGCAGCGTCACTTAGCTCCCCACCGGCGCATACGTCTCGTCATAGTCAATGTCATACACCTGCGTTAATCCTTTTACGACCAGGCAGGCCTTTTCGTGGGCAACCATATCATAGACATGACACTTCGTCATAAGCACCCAGCAGTTCTTCATTATGTTGACACCGCGCGGACGCTCAACCAGCTCCCATGTCCCCTTGGCGATGAGGCACCTGATCTCCTCGTCCATGGCGCCCTTCACCTCCTTGCCCTTCCAGCTCGCCAACGCCTCCTTCACCGTCAAATTGGCAATGTCACAGCGGTGCTCCGGGTCGGCGTACACGTATAAGTCGAGCTCAAGTAGGTCAACGTCGGCATGCGCATCATCAAGCAGTGTGGTGTAGGAAGTTGGTGGCAAGCAAGCATAGTAACTCCACTACTCTGCAGGATTGTCGAGGTTGGAGCGGGTAGAATGCCGCGGCTTCACTTCTTTGATCGGGACCTCCACCACATCACTATCGTCAAACAGCTCCCCTGACGACAGCTCCCCTTCCTCGCCACCAAAGACTTTTACGACGTCAATTGACGCGCCATCATCGAGTTGGTCCAAAATAGTCATCTCGCCTGCCGCCCGGTGCTCCCATGTCAACGGCGGCTTTTGCATATGGCCTCCAAGGTGCATCTCGTCATGTCGGCCGCCGGCGATGCCACTGGCCGGCGCCGAAGGCGACGAAGCAATGCTTCCCTCATTGCCGGAGGCCGACGATGATGCCGGCGTCGGCAGGTCAGCGACAAGGGGTACAGGGGAGGCGAGAGTGGGAGTCGAGGGAGGAGGGACGTCCTCGACGTCGCCTTCCTCGACGTCGCCGTCCTCGACGCCACCGTGCTTGCAAGTTTTGAAATTGCATGATATAGTTTTCCAGCGAAGGTCCTCCGAGAAACGCTGAGGAACCTCAATCTTGGGCAGCTACCGCCTCATCCCCGATGCCTTGCCAGGTCACACTTCTTGGGAACTGTTCCGCCACCCCTCGCCCGCTGGTGCGTACGTGCCAATCCTTGCGCACTCTGCGTCGTCTACGTCCGCGGCGTAGGCCTGGATCCTCCGCTTCCCTCTACTCGTGTGCCGTCCTCAATACCGGTCGCACCATCGCTGAAACCTCTTTGCCCTTCTGCTGCGCCGGCTCCTTCCGGCTGCAGCAGCTCTCCTTGCTCGACGTCTCCTTCCGTCATTTCTGCGACGCCCTTCATTAGCAATAAAACAAGGAAATGTCTTCCGGAATGCAGTCTCATTGATTGTTACGGTATTTGTCAACTAAGCTGGATCTAGGATCCATCCCATTCCCCTCCTCCTGACGGCCTTGGCTAACACAGGTCTCTCGTGAAAAAGAAATTGCAATAGTACATTAATCAAGAACATACAAACCGGGCAGCCCCATGGCCCAATTCCTCCTAGTACTACCCTCCTATCCACGGCTATACCAAGCTCCTAAGGAAGAGCTAAGGCAAAAGCGCATGGCTATCCAGATCCATACTAACACTGCCTCCAGCTGCTCGGCGGAGTCTTCCAGCTGGCTTGGACTCGGTGTCTGCTTAGTATACGGAAAACAAACACGCATACACATTTCCAAAAGCTCACCCCCAGCTCTCCTCTTTCCCGCCACTGCCCAGTCCTTGCACACTGCCCATCTGCCGCCCTTTCCTCTTCCCTGCCCACCTCTTATTCGTACGCTTCCCTGCCCTCGAGCTTTCCCAATCCTTGATCCGTCAATGCTTCATCTCTACGCACAATGTATACACTAATTACAACTTACTTCGCTCTTTCGGATAACTGCTGCGACTGCTGCTGTTATTTGACAACATCAAGTTGGATGCCCTAGAATCATGTCGTCCGCGTATCTGCCCTCACGTATCTGCCCTTGCTGCATCATTCACCGTTAAAATACCACCGCCCAGTCCCACCACCGTCACCACTGCTGCCAGCAACAGCTCCTTAGTTGGAGCAGATGCCAGCGGTGCATTGCCCCGAGCAACGCGCACCGCAGGCGCCGCAGTTGCCTTTGCTGCTGGAGAGATCTACACAGATGCCGCCGCAACAATCCTCCGTCATGTCACAGAACTTGTTGCACGCCCCGCAGTTGTTAATGTCAGTAGATTTGTCCACGCACAAGCTGGTGGGGGGAAACAATGCAATGAGAACGGGTGCAAGGAAAATGGAATGTGCGACAATGCAGTTTTGAGTCTGATACCATCAGTTTGGTCCACACACAACCTGGTGGGGGGGTAGTTGCAAGGAAAAGGGTGGAATTGCAGCCTTTGCAAAAAAATATTTATGCCGACTGGCCCACCTGACGGTGGTGGGGGAAGAGAGTGGGTGCAAGGAAAATGGAAATGTGAGTAGTAGCCTCTTCAGGAACAGGCTATTCTTGGAAAGCAGTAGCGCGCTTCTCGGTTCTGGTTGTCAGTTGTCAGTTTGTCTTGCTGTTGGTGTCCATACACAGTCGGGTGGGGGGATAAAGTGAAGGCAACAGGACAAGGTAGAGTGACGGGCATATGTGCAGTGCGGTCAAAAGCGGGTAAAGACCTGCACTGCATCATGATGAGACTGATGGTAACCGTTGCGAAGCCTGAGTGTGAACTTCACACGAGCGTGAGCGTTTGAGCGTGGTACTTACGAGCCGCAGGCGGTTTCGCTGCCGGGGCATGTGAACACCAGCAGGCGACGCAACTTCATTTGCGAGTTACCACCGCCAGCGCCACTTCCCGACGTTCGCATGGCGTTTCGCTGCGGGGAAGGGTTTCGGAAGGACAACCAAGCGAAGAGCTCATTTTGCGTGCATGACGTCGCGCATGCTGGGGGGACAGATTGCGAAGGGCTTTTAAAACCCAGGGTCCACAGGTTTCAAAGGTAGGAAGGTTGGTTGGACTTTGTGCCAAAACCAAAGGTAGGAAGCTTGGTTGGACCTTGTAACCCAACCAAAGGTAGGAAGGATGAGGCAACTTCGGGAAACTTGAGACCCCGGTTTTAAGCAGTTCGCCGGTACGCTGGCGTCACTCGCAGCAAGTTCCGGTTGATATGTTTACGTTTGAATGGCAGTTGAGTGCGGGGTCGCAAAGGGAGGACGAGTTCATCGCCGCCGAGAAAGCGCGAAAGAAAGCGCGGAAGAAAGCGCGGAAGAACTCCCAAAAGAAGCGCGGAAGAAGTGCGAGAGAAAGTGCGAGAGACAACCAGATACAGCGATATAATAAAATCCAAGTTTTTCTTACTTCGAGCTCTTTCGCGCTGGCTGTCGTGGACGGTATCGCGGTCGCTAGTAACGCGGCGGCGATGCACAGAATCAGACTCAGGCGTATCGACCTTGACTCCATCGAAAAAAAGCCCTACTATTGTCTCTGTTACGAGTCTGCGTCTACAAGGGCTGTAGATGCGTCCGAAGAAGAATCTGGGCTGATCGTCTCTTGTAAGATGTTCTTCGTAAGTAACCTTTCCCAGAGGACGTAGTAAGCCGCTGTTAGAAAGGCGAGGTATGAGTTAGGGCGTGGAACATTTTTACGACCACGCCGATTTGTCGACGAAATGGTTGGATCTGGCGAAAGCGAAAAGTGTAACAGAGATGCGAAGTATGCGAGATTTCTAAGCTATTCTGCTCGCCAGCACGTGGGGCACCCAATGAAAACTACCCCACTAAGCAGAAACATTTCTTCCAGTTTAAGCATTCGAAACGGGTGTGGGATGTGGGGGGAAGCGGGAAATGAGAGAAGCGTTAATCAAACATGGACGGGGGTAATACTGGAAGTCAAACGATGTCCCCTTTTTAATGGATAAGTGTAAGTAGAGACCCTTAACATTTACGGGAAATCCCAGTTACTTTTGGTCAGTTCAGGGCGACTACTATGCATGCCAGTCAATGGGGTTTCCTTAAATTCTTCGCAATCGCGAAAAACAACCATCTTTCCGACCATTTGGCGTGGTCGTAAAAATGTTCCACGCCCTTAGACTGCTGCAAGCGCGAGAACAGGTGTCCCGCGAATTAGCGCGCAATACTGGAGGGAAAATTCAAGCCAACAGAACCAACCTGAGGTCACAACAGAATTGTCGAAACCGCCCTGATTGCGGTCTGCGTGCATTTGCTACGCATCGCATGTAAGTTGGCGCGAAAATGGCGGCAGCAGAGCTTCCAACCGGATTCTGCTCGCCCTAAGCGCATGAATATCCTGAAAAGTGGAAGGGGCGCAGGGTCAGGTCGCGGCAGACATGCGAGAAGGTCAAGCAAAAAATCAGGTATGGCGGCGGCACTTCCGCCGGGGATGGGATGGGATGGGTGGGATGTTTCGATTGATATATTCCCGCAGGAAGGCGAAAGACAAGCTGTGGGACCTCATCTACACTAGACTAAAAAGCAACATCCTTAGGAATAGTTCAAAGGTTTATACACACATACATGTGAGGCTCTCATTCTTGATTCCGCTGCAAAGTGCTGGCGAACAGGGCCAAATTGGCACCCTTCAAGCATAGTTGGATTTGTCAAATTCCGACTCTCATCCATATTCTTAAGAACCATTTGCCAACCCACATTGGAATAATAAAATGACCCACAAATCGACAGATTTCACCAAGCAAGAAACGGAATGTAGCTAGTAGTACAAGGTGAAACTTCTGCTCTTTGGTCATTATTGCTCCTTCTGCATGGAGCAAAACGCTTATTTGTGGGACATCAGTTTAGATGTCCTAGTGTGTTCTCTTTTTTACCACACTTGGCGCCCCAGTCTCTCCACTCCTAGACCAACGCCATCCAAAGCAGCATGCGTCCGCACATGCATCAGCTCAATCCATCGCCACCTGAACCAGCGCCGTGGTTGCAGATGAGGATGCACTGCTGCAGCAATGCGCTATCTCCATGCACTATCTCCACGTGCCACCGTTCCATCATTCACAGCAAGGAAGCAATGCACTATCTCCTTGCCGTCCCACCACCACTGCCGCCACCACCGCTACCACCACCACCAGCAGCAGCACCACCACCAGCAGCGCCGTAGTCGCAGATGCCGAGGGTGCATTGCCCAGGGCAGCGCGCACCGCAGGCGCCGCAGTGGTCGTTGCTGTTATTGAGATTCACACAGCTGCCGCCGCAGCAGTCCAGCGACACGTCGCAGAAGTTGCCACACGCCCCGCAGTTGTTGATGTCCGTCGATTGGTCCACACACAGGCTGGTGGTGGTAGAGGGGTGGGAGAGGGGTAAGGGGGTGGGAGTGGTTGCTAGGAGAATGTGACGTAAATAAGGCAGCCTTTTGCAGTTGATGTCGATCGTGCAGTCTCCGCACAGGCTGGAGCGGGAGAGGGAGTGGGTGCAGTGGTTGTTGCTGTTATTGAGATTCACACAGCTGCCGCCACAGCAATCCAGCGACACGTCGCAGAAGTTGCTGCATGTCCCGCAATTGTTGATGTCAGTCGATTGGTCCACGCACAGGCTGGTGGGGGAGGAGAGTGGGGGGAAGGTGGGGGGAAGGTGGGGGGGGGGGAGAGGGGGGAGAGGGTGAATAACGAAAGGGGTGGGAGTGGGTGCGTGAGAATGGAACTTGAAATGGTGTCAGCCTTCAGAGCTGATGATGTCTGCCTCCTCTTGGGGCTGGTGGCGCAAGAGAGTTGGTGCAAGGAAATTGGCCATGTGAAACGATGCCTCCTTGGGAAACACAAGCGCGCCGTCGCAGCTGTCGTCCTGGTTCACGTAGGCTGATGGGGAGGTTGAGTGGGAGCAGCAGGACAAGGGAGCGCGATGGGCACCGTCAGATCAGTGGGAAAGTTGAACTGCGGGGGATCGACGGTGATCATTTCAAGACTTGCGTGTGTGAGCGTGTGTGAGAGCGGCTGTGCGTGGGATACTTACGAGCCGCAGACGGTCTGATTGCTGGGGCATTGGAAGACCTGCAGGCGACGCCACTTCACTCGCGAGTTACCATCGCGAGCGCCGCTTCGCGATGTTCGCATGGCGAATCGCTGCAGGGAAGGGGTTCGGACGGGCAGCCAAGAGAAGAGTTCAAATTTGCGTGCATGACGTCATGCAACGCGCTGCCAAGCAGGAAGGTACAGTTTGCAAAGGGGCCTTTGAGTGCAGCGCTGCTACGCAGACGCCACTCACAGCAAGTTGCGGTCACTTATTTAAGACTGAATAAAAAACTGGGTGCGGGAGGAGCAACGGATGACGAGACATCGTCGCCGAGAAATTGCGGCGATGAAGCTTGGAAGGAAGACTTTTTCGAAGCAATTCATACTGCGGTAGTTGTTCCGACAGTTTCTCTTTCTTCGAATTCTCTCGCGCTGGCTGTTGTGGACGGTATCGCTGCTGCTAGTAACGCCGTCACGGCAATGCAGAGAAGAAAACTCAGGTTTATCGACCTCGATCCCATCGAGAATGGCTCTTTTTTGTCTCCGAAACAAATCCGTGTTTAATAAAGGTTTAGGGATGCGTCCTAAAAAGAATCTGGACTGATCGCCGCTTCTCGCGAGGCGAGGTGTTATTATTAGCGTTTTCCGGAGGCACTAGGCGATTAAGGCAGTATACGCTGCTGCAAGGAAGGCGAGGAAGCTGTATAACTTGCGACGAAGCGATTAATCTAGATCTGAAAGTGTTTGATTCAAGTCGGAAGGCTACTGAGCCAGAAATGGCGGTGGCTGGATGGCAAGAAGGTGTGTGATGCGGCAGCAGGGTAAAGGCGATAGCTGAGAACGTGTGACAGATTCAATACAGAAAACTGCAATGGCATATCCTTCCTGGAGAATGGGAATTTGGAAATGACTTGCGAGCGGCCAAGTGTGGTTGCTGGAGGGAATAAGCGGGACCGATGTTGGGAGATTCGCCAAAAATGACTGCACGGCCATCAGTTGCAATGGCTGCTGCGTATGTTTTCTTGCATGCTTTGCTTTCTGTCTGTTTCCCAGCGACGTGCTTGCATCATGGAAAGTCGTGGTTGTCCGTTCAATGTACGTCTAGCGCGGTTAAAGAAGGTGGAGCTCGGTTGAGAACATTTTTCCATATTCACCGCTTAAGACCATTCCGCTTTTTCCAATGTATTAACCTGTCTCTCATCACCACCCCTCCCCTGTCTCCCCAAGATTTCGAATTCCAGAATTCCTTCTCGACTCGATTGTTTGATCGGAAACGGAGCCGCGCGCGGCTCGTCACATGGGAAACACACTTTGCCCCACGATTGCCAGTGACGCAGCGCAACTGTATGCCCGAGAGGATCCATGAGCTGCCACTGCTTTGTGCAAGCCGTCTTGAGTTGGAGCTTCAATAATGTTGATGAGGTGTATATCAACGAGTGATAGCTCATAAAATAACAAGAACACGGTTTTTGCTCAACCTTCTATTGCTTACAGAATGGCTGCTGGCTGGAAGGATCAGCTCACCAGTGGTTGGCAAAGCAGTTCAAGCACATGAAATTCCATAGATGAGAAATTGCCAAGTATCTAGTGCAATTCATTTCTTTGAAAAATGTTAATTCTGAGTAGGTAAAAGCGAATGCTACTCCATCACCTTTTTTTATCGTTTACAACATCCATTTGCATGCACCCTGTGTACATGAATAGAGAAGAGAAGTAGTACAATACTTCCAAATTTCCCCTCTCATGTGGCCCTCTCTAAGCAGGCTCTCACATGCACATCCGGTGCAAACATATATGCTGCTACAGACCGTAGAAGCACTTCAAAACATATGCAGCCACAGCATCACTTCCCAGGCCAACCAGCAACAGCGTCACTCCCAAGGCTAGTACAGACCGATGCCAGTGCAGCCGGCATTGCCCTCAGCGCTGCGGCATCATTAGCAAAAGCATTACCGCCAAAAGCACCACCAGCAAATGCATTCCCAGGGAAACCGTTTCTTCCAGGCCCAGCAGCCGCAATGACAACCCCCTCTAGCTCCATCACTCGTTTCTCCAATGCATCAACATAACCCACAGCTCTATCCAGCATAGCGCACGTGTCCCCTCGCCCCCTCACCTTTGCCCGCAGCCTCCGCAGCCCCTCACTGATCCTCCCTCTCCTCTGCCGCTCTGCGATGCTGCGCCTCCTAACCCTCTGGTTCGGCGCCGAACCAGTCCTGGCGGCCTGGCACCGAGGCAACGGCTCATCGTCAGTGGCACACTCATCTTGCACGTCGCGTGCGCAGCAGCCAATGGTCTTGCTCTGGTATCTCACCCCGCGCTCATCTCGTGCGCGCAACCCTTCCGCGCTCCCCCACTGGTTCTCATCTGAGGGGGTCCCTAGCATACCATCTGCGTTGCACACAGGCTGCTGCTGAGGGCACGCGCCTGCACCACCAAACTCGTCGTCGCCAGAATGCCACCGAGCCCTGCCGCCCGTGCCGTCCGTGCCGTCCGCGCCGTTCATGCCGCTCGAGCCGTCTGATTCACCCACTTGCCCAGTCACTGCGCTGCCCAGGATATGAGGGTCAACAACTGTGGCACTACCCAGGATATTAGGGGCAACAACCGTGGCACTACCCAGGATATTAGGGGTAACAACCGTGGCACTACCCAGGATATTAGGGTCAACAACCGTGGCACTACCCAGGATATTAGGGTCAACAACCGTGGCACTACCCAGGATATTAGGGTCAACAACCGTGGCACTGCCCAGGATAGACGTCGCTATGGCACTGGCTGAATTCGGCGGAACAAGAGAAGCATTGGCTGGCCCGAGCACACACCGGCTGTAGCAAGCACGGGGGGTCTGTAGGGCGCTCTGCTTTGCGTGCTGCTGCTGCGTGTGAGCGGCTGTAGCACAACCAGTGGGACCCCCTGGGCTTGGGACTTTTCTCTTCTTTCCAGTGTCGCTTGCTGAGTTGGTGCCAGTACTGTTGAAAAGGCTACTGTTGATAACGGCATGTGCACCAGCAGGGGTTGTTGTCAATTCGTGGATCACATTACTCATGGCACTGCTGGGGTCGGTGTCATTGCCACGCAGAGAAGATTCGGGGGCACTGCTGCCACCACTTCCGCCACCACTGCCAATCCTTTCCCCGCCCCACCCTCCCTTGCAGCCCCACCCACCTCCACCACGAGCCAATTGCAGAGCGCCATCTGGATGGTACCTGGGAGCAAACGTAGAAGCAAGGGCGGTCTCAAATAGCTTTGCTGATGTTCCTGCATCCGGAAGAGCCGAGAAAGCTGAGAGCCAGTGCTCCTCCTTCCCCCCTTCCAGCTGCTGCTCCTGTTGCTGTTGCTGCTGATTTTCCTGCTGCTGATTCTCCGCCTGCTCCTGCTGCTCCTGCCGATGCTGCCACTGCTGTTGCACTTTAGGCTCCTGGGAGACCCCTGTCTGTTCTTGACTCACCACCCTCTGCCGCTTCCGTAAGTTCTGCTGCTGCTTCCGCAGGAGAGCCATGAGCTGCGCCCTCTCATTCTCATCCCGGCCCCTCATCTGCAGCAGCCTCGGGGTCACCCGGCTTGACAGCACACCTTCCCCTGCCTTTGCCTCTGCCTGCTGCTGCTGCTGCTGCTGCTGCTGTCAGTTGTAATGGCAGAGCACACACTGCAGTCCTGTCCTCGTTAGAGACAGGAATGACAGTCTCCGTTAGTGGCTCGCGTGCGAGGAAATCATGATCGCGCATGCCGCTGCTGTCCACTGCATTCCCACCGCCCACGTGCTGACGTGCTTCCACCTGCCGCGCTTCCACCTGCTGCGCTTCCGGCTGCTGCACTTGCGACTGCCGCGCTTCCGCCTGCTGCAAGTCCGGCTGCTGTACTTCCTGCAGTCGTAGAAGGCGTGCGAGGTGCGAGAGCCCAGACAGCATGCGCTGTATCTGCACCTCCCTGCTTGCGAGCGGGGTAGAGTGCGGAGATTGCGGGGGTGCGAGCAGGGTAGAGTGCGGCGGTGCGAGCAGGGTAGAGTGCGGCGGTGCGAGCGGGGAAGAGTGCGGAGCCTGCGGCGGTGCGAGCGGAGAAGGAAGGTCGTCCATTGCAAAGAGTGCGGCAGGAGTGAGTGAGTCAGACAGTGGTGGTAACACCGACGGTGTCCCTCCCATGCTGCTGCTGCTACAGATTGTGGCGGTAGTCCCGTGGCTGTTGTGTGAAGAGTGCGGCGATGCGAGCAGGGTAGAGTGCGGCGAGGCGAGCAGGGAAGAGTGCGGAGAGTGCGGCGGTGCGAGCGGGAAAAGAAGGTCGTCCATGGCGAGGAGTGCGTCAGCGAGAGAGTCTGATGGTAAACCTCCCGTGGTGGTGGTGCTGGTGGTAGTGCCGTGGCTGTTGTGCGGAGAGTGCAGCGGTGCGAGCAGGGAAGAGTGCGGAGAGTGCAGCGGTGCGAGCGGGAAAAGAAGGTCGTCCATGGCAAGGAGTGCGGCAGAAGCGAGAGAGTCCGACGGTGTCCCTCCCGTGCGACGTCGTTCAGGTAGAGCAGTGCGACGTCGTTCAAGAACTGGCAATACTAAACGTTCGCAATACTCAACCGCTCTCAATACTAAAACTCGGCGGTTGAGCCTGCAAGCGACTTTTGAGGCGCCTCAGAAGAACTGGCAAGACTGTAACTCGGGGGTGAGCCTGCGTGGGGGCCTTTGACGGTGAAATGGGCAGCGGACGACGATGATGCGAGGAGGGGAGAGCGTCTCGTCTGACGGACCGTCACGATGTGGCGCCAGGAGTCAGCACAACTGGCATGAAAGGAGCTGAGATGAAACGAAACGAAACGAAATGAAATGAAAGGCGGATGAGAAATTGGTACTAAGAACGAGAGTCGCTTTGAGAAACACTTTAACACTTTCTGGGAAAGATTGGAAGGGCGGACACTCTTCGCCGCGTTTGTTGCGATCGCGGCGCCATCCCACCGTAGGGTGATCGTGCGCCAATCGTGGCGTCCCCGTGCGGCGGGCACGGGGCGCTGCGCCCCACATGATTGGGGACACCACGAGCTCTCGCTGTGATAGTGCTGTGACAGTCTCGCCGCCTCACATGATTGAGTGGGGGCACACGAGCTCTCGCTGTGACAGTCTCGCCGCGCCGCACGTTCTTGGCGGCAGTCAACCGCCATCGCACGGGACGCACACAGTAAGTACAGTACAGTACGATATCGTCGTGGAGCCACTAATCCAGCACTAGTGAGTGGTTCTGTTCGACGCCTAGCAGCAAGTCGTGTCGTGTTACAGTCTGGACCTCCATAGAATGCCATCGACTGTGTATGTAACTGTGCGAAATCAGAGGTTACAACAAATCTAGGTGCGCTGGCAACGGTCAACTGCTCCGCACGCGAGGCTAGTGAGCGAAGTAGCCAAGGTGACTCGTTAGTGAGCTGGAAGCTTGGGCCGAAAGCGAGTGAACCGGGAAGCGAGCTAGTGAGCTGTACCTAGAAGTTGCCAGCACGGAAACTATCCTAGAAGCGCGGGAGGGAGGGCAAGCTTGAGGGAAATTGGAAGAATATATTGCACTGCCAGTAAGTGAATTTTTTTGCAAATGACGAGGCCACAGCAGGAAATTACCATCCAGACCACACGTCTCGGTTTTGTAGATTTTTGCTCGGTTTTGCCTGGTCTCCTGACCACCCTAAATTCCCCAGGCCCAGAAAGAAAATCATGCACGGCTCGCGACACGACACGAAAGCTGGCGAAGCGGCAAACATCTCGCGACGGTGTTGTCCCATGGAGATGCGATCATTGCCGAAACTGGTTTCCACGCTTCGAGGTGCCCCGAAGTAACAGACCGCAAGGGCTTGACCAAAACAGTACCCACGTGATCGAACTGTTCTTCCAGCCTACAAATGATGCTCGTTTGACTAACCCAAGGTTGCCTTGTGAAGGGGGCTCTTAAGTGATTCTTGCATTTCGCTAAGTTTTCGTCAATTCCCACTGGGCTTATAAAAAACTTTGTAACTCTCCGTTGACCTTTTGACTTTAGTCTCTTCGGTCAAGCTTCGTTTTCTGTGGTTCGAATTGGTTCAAATCGCTGCAACTTGCTCGAGGCGCTTGTAAGTGGGGTGCAACTGGCTGGCAATAAATACACGCGTGCAGAGTATCTGGCGCGTGCAGGTTAAATTCGAGCGCAGCGGTTGAGCAACATGTGTATTGAACCAAATCCAGCAAGCCGGGTTCACGTTGGGGGCGATTGCTGCATGTGAGAACCTCGTAGTGTATAGAATTATGTTACGTATAATATATCACCAGGTGTAAGTTGGTCCTACTTTATTATGCTCAGTAATTCAACTCTCCAAATCCGTTCTCACCATCTGCACCAGCTATATTGTTTTGAAAAGACACCACTTACTGCCCCTGCTACCGGTGTTTGACAATTCACTACATGATATCACAGCCAGAGTAACGAATCAATTGCAAGGAATCATCGCCTCTAAACAGCAGATTTACCAATGCGTTCAAAGGCATTGATGCCAGCCACGCGCCCATACACCACACACTCAAGCAAGGAGTTACCACCCAGGCGGTTTGCTCCATGAAGCCCACCTGTGAGAAGCACAAGAAACAACACAAGCCATAAACTCAACAGGCACACTACGCAATTTACAAACCCCAACACATTCATAATATGGGAAACATCTGCTTCCGCACACATCTTTTACGTGAGCCTGAAAGTCTGTTACACTCACCTGTCACTTCGCCAGCTCCAAAGGGGCCTGGAATTATCGTGCCATCTTCCTTGAGAATTTGAACGCTGGTGTCAAACTCACCCAACCTTTCACTACGACAAATGGGCGCTGGTCACCTTTCACGCGAACCGGATCATCCTCTTTGCTCACCTGTCACTTCGCCAGCTCCAAGGAGGCCGGGAATGGGCGTGCCATCTTCCTTGAGAATACGGCCGCTGGTGCTAAACTCACCCAGCCTTTCACTACGACAAAAGAGGGCTAGTCACCTTTCACGCGAACCGGATTATCCTCTTTGCTCACCTGTCACCTCGCCGGCACCAAAGAGGCCGGGAATGGGCGTGCCATCTTCCTTGAGGATGCGGCCGCTGGTGTCAAACTTGAGCCCTCCCATGCAGTAGTGCAGCGACGGCGTGATGATGGCCACGTAGAGCGGGGGCTCGGAGGAGCTGCGAGGGGGGGAGACACAAGACACACAGGGGGGCAGGGCAGTGGACAGTGTGGATGGGAAAGGGACAGGTTGGGATTGAGCCAGCCCATGCAGTAGTGCAACAAGGGGGTGATGATGGCCACGTAGAGCGGGGGCTCAGAGGAGCTGCAGCGAAGGAAGAGGCAGAGGGGTTTCAGAGAGGAGAGGTAGTGGGGAGTTTAGAGATGGCCCAAAATTCTCCATGCAGTAGTGCAGCGAGGGCATGATGATGACCACGTAGAGTGGCGGCTCGGAGGAGATGCGAATGAGGGAGACAGACAGGGGCCGTCAGAAAGTAACGGGTTTTGAGAGAGGAGAGGTGGCGAGGTGGAGAGGAATTCAATGAGAACGGATTAGTTGAAAAGAATGTCCGCTGCAGAGCAAACCAGCCCACTGGACAAGGCGGCTTATTGGCACCTTAAAGAGAGGGAGATTAGGTGGACTCCACTTACTTGAAGAGCACAGGGAAGACGGTCTTGCCGAAGGGATCGCCCTTCTCTGCGTCGTGGCGGCCGTACGAGTCCAGAGCAGCCTTCACATTCGCCGCTGGCAGCTTGGTGCCCTCGCTCAGTGCCTCCACGCTGTCAAACTGTGATGTGAATGCGGGGAGAAAAAGGCACCCGGGGAAACAGAGAGGGGAAAGGCGGGTTTCAGATTGAGTTGGGCCCAGAGCAGCCTTCACGTTGGCTGCTGGCAGCTTGGTGCCCTCGCTCAGAGCCTCTACGCTGTCAAACTGTGATGGGACTGCGGGGAGTGGGAGGCACCAGCGCAAAGAAGGGGGAAGGTGGGGAGGAAAGATTGATCCAGAGCAGCCTTCACATTCGCTGCTGGGAGCTTCATGCCCTCGCTCAGTGCCTCCACGCTGCCAAACTGAGAGGGATAGAGCACAACAGGGCAAAGGGGTGGGGGACGGGAGGAAAGTAGAGAGGAAAATTGGGGTCCGAATGAACTACGTGAGCTGGGCTGGATGGAAACATAAATGGAGATAACTCCTTCGAACCACAACTGACCTGCACATGGCAGTCAGCCAACGTCCATAACTCTCGGCACTGCCTGAATGAACTGCCCAGCCTATGGCAAGGCGCCTTGGTTAAAGGGATTTCAGTGCTTACAGACACCTCCCCACCCCACCTTGCGGATGAGCCCCTTGCCGATGTAGAACTGGCACGAGAGCGGGTCGAACTTGTTGATGGCCTCCTGGTTCAGAATCAGGTACGACACCGCTGGCATGTCCCTTTTTCTCCCTCCCCCAATCTCTGTCCCGTGCCTCCCACTATATCCACCCTTCCTCACCCCCCTCCCCCTCACCCTCGTGCCTCACCCTCCTGCCTCACCCTCTCGCCTCACCCTAGGGCACCACCCGCCCTCACCACCCTCGTGCCTCACCCTCCCTTCACACCCTCCGATCTCACCTTGCGGATGAGCCCCTTGCCGATGTAGAACTGGCACGACAGCGGGTCGAACTTGTTGATGGCTTCCTGGTTCAGAATCAGGTACGACACCGCTGGCATGTCTGCGCCCCCTGCTGGCGCGCCTGGCACCTCGGGCAGTGGCCCGCAGTTCTTCAGAATCGCCTCCACCACCTGGTTTGGGGTGAGGGAGGGGGATGGTGGGAGATGCAGGTTGTGAGGGTATGTGTAGAGGCGCTTCAAGAACAGACAGCAAAAGGGCGGACGCCACCATCTTTGGGGCGCCTGGCACCTCGGGCAGCAGCCCGCAGTTCTTCAGAATCGCCTCCACCACCTGGTGGGGGGTGAGGGAGGGCCGTTGATAGAAGCACGTGTGTTCGTGATGAGAGTCTGCTTACAGGCGCTTCAAAAGCAGACTGCGTGAGAACGGCCTCCGCCACCTGCTGGCGCGCCACCTAGGGCAGTGGCTCGCAGTTTTTCAAAATCGATTTCACCACCTGGTTGGGGGTGAGGGAGGGCCGGTGATAGATGCACGTAGGGTGAGGGTGTGGAGGAGGGTGGTGAGAGGTGTATGTGGGGCGTTGGAGATAGAAGCTGCCACACAAGGGCAGGACTAATCTGCGGTGTCTACCACGTTTCCTGCCCAGTCTTTCCGTTCTGCCCCGAGTGCTCATCACATCCCTCTCGTCCCACGCTCCGCCCTGCTCCCTCACTTTTGCCCCAGCCCAGTTCGACCCACACATCTCTCCCCCTCCGCTCTCACCGCCCATCCCTCGCAGTCTGTCACCACATACACTCGCCGCGTATCTCGTCGTCAGCTCGTTGACGAACCGGTCGCCCTTCTCGTTGAGAAAACACATTTGAGTCGACTAAAAATTCTCTCTGTCACCTTGCTCATTCACCGCTCATCCCTCACAGCCTGTCACCCTGTGCACTCACCGCGTCTCTCGTCGTCAGCTCGTTCACGAACCGGTCGCCCTTCTCGTTGAGCAGGATTCCGCCGCAGCCGCGGAGGGCTTCGGGCGCGAGGAACTTGACGGGGTTGCGCGGGTCCTTGGGGTCCACGTACCCCGTCGGGTGCAGCTGCACCTGGTCCATGTGCACCAGCCCCGCGCCCGCCGCCAAACCCAGTCGCACGCCGTCGCCCGTCGCGAACGGGCCGTTGGTGGTCGCCAGGTTTCGCAGCTTGGGCGTGTGCTGGTCCAGCAGGCCGCCCTCGGCCTTGTCTGCCGAGTAGCCGCCCGTGGCGAGGATGACAGCGCGCGCCTTCACCTCCGTCTCCTCCTTGCCTCCCTGAGGAAGGGAGGGGAGCGGTGAGGGGAGGAGGGTGACAGTGAGGTTGGAATGCTGTTCTTGTTTTCCTCTCATATCACAGGCGGTTACTTAACAGCTGCCCACGGATGGGTAGCTCTTCTCCTTATTTTTCTTTGTACTACAGGCGGCGCTTCAACAGCTGCCCGTGGTAACATCTTCGTTGAATCCGCAAAGCGGTTAGTTGTGCGTGAACTGTGGTGAAGTGTGCGCGCCAAGACGCGTCCACTTACAGAGCCGTCGGCCGCGGGGGTCTCGTACTTGACGCCAGTGACGGCGCCGGTGTCGTCTGTGAGAAGCTCAGTAACCCGGGCTTGCTTCACCACCTTGGCCTGCGGAACAGACAGAGACAAGGAGACGTGAATCGGACGAGCACGAGACAAGCGTGGCACACGAATGAGACAAGGAGTGACGAGGAAGTGAGAGGAGAGACATGAAGCAAGGACGGAAGGGCAGCAGGACGGTGGAAACGACACATCAAGGGAACGACACATCAAATGAAACCACTGCACATTCAATGGCATTTAACGATCCTACGGCATAGCTGGAAATCCTTGTAAAGAGCTATGGAAAGCCCGAGAGCTCCTTGGGTAAAGAGCCAGAACCAAACAAAGGGAATTTCGCATGCTAGGAGGGATAACTCCCTCTTTCGGAGGGAAACAAAAGTACCCTCTTACCCTCCTGTAGACATGGTGTGCAGCCATGGGGTGAGAAGTGTGAGCAGGGGGTGTGGGTACTAGCCGGCGTACCTTGTCAGCAGGGAGACCTTCAACGTATTTGATGAGGATGGACATGATGCGGAATCCGATGTTCATGGGCTTGCCGTCGGGGAGGGTTGACTTACTGAGACGATTCAAACGTACCTTGTCAGCAGGAAGACCTTCGACGTATTTGACGAGCACGGACATGATGCGGAAACCGATGTTCATGGGCTTGCCGTCGGGCTTGGACCTGTGCGTGCGCGGATGCTGGCTCGTCGCATAGCAGCAGCAACATTGGCGTGCAAGGGGCGAACAACAGGGAGAAAAAAAAGGGGACGGGAGCAGAAGGGGAGGAATTGGAGGAAGAATACTTCGGCTGACCTTTCTACATCCACGAGTCCTTTGGGGTCCGTTCTTTGGAAAAATCTCCAAGAAAGACATAGAACCAGATTCTAACGGAACGGGGTACCAAGAATATACATTTTGCTTCCAATCCGCTGACCACCGAGTTGCAGATCACCGAGTGGCCGCTGAGCTGCGCAATGCTGGAGAGGTCGATCTGGCTGTTAGTCGACTCGATAGAGACGATACTGCAACTTGCAAATACCTGTTAACACTACGCAGACTCACGGAGTGGCCGCGGAGCTACGGACTCACCGAGTGGCCGCCGAGCTGCGCGATGCTGGAGAGGTCGATCTGGAAGCCTTCGAGAAACGCAACGGCGTCCGCGCTCTGCTTCACGATCACGTCCACCAACGCCATGTCCGACAGACCCTTGCCGGACCTGCCACGAGCAGCACAAACCGCATGGATCGTGTGAAACGCGTGAACGGCATCAAATGCGCGAGTGGCGTGGAACATGTGCAACGCGCAATCACACGATGCGAGCACGAGAACACAAGAGAAAAAAGGTGTTCGGAGCTTCATGTGATGGCTTAACAAAGCGGGGGAAACAAGGAACAGAACGGCTGCAGACGAAAGAGGGGCTCACTTCTCGGTGTCCTTGGCGAAATCCTCCAGCTTGTCCTCGATGCCAACGGCCAGCTGGGGCCCGCTGCGAGCAGCGTTCATTCCTAGCAAGGCACGAATACAACGACAAAAAGAAACACGTGGAAAAACACGGTCTGAGGGGAAAGAACCTCCACAGCATCAGTAGTGGGATCTAAGCAGGCGAGGGCGGACACTTTGTGGAGCTGAAGCCTATCCGACAGGAATTCGGATTGCATTGGTTGCTTTGTATTTTCATTAGAGGATGTAGAGAATGTTTCTCATTCAAAACCGCATCAAAAGCAAAACTTTGCCTCGAGGATCGGTCACGCAAGAGTCGCGGCGGAAATAACAGCGAAAGGCATAGGGATTGAAGCTCACCAGAGCTCGCCTTGGCAGAGTTCCCGCCGAGCCTGCGACGCAATCAGACACACACGGACCGGACCACAAGCAAGAGCTGAAGACGATGGAGAACAGGGCCGGACAATAATACGACGGAATTCATCATCCATCTAGATAAGGAAAGAAAGAAATAACATAAAACTGAGAAAGAGCAGTGCACCATTACATTCTGCAACTGACCGTTCGCTCTTTTCGAGGACGAGGACAGTGCCGCCCCGCTTGACAACTTCCACGGCAGCAGACAGACCCGCGAGGCCGCCTCCCACCACCACGACGTCAGGGAAAGTAGCCATTTTTGTCACTGTAACAGCCGCGAAGACAGCGAAGGAAGCTAGAAATAAATATTTGAAGCGCAGTCGAAAGGTAGCGACCATGATGCATCCTCTCAGGAAGAGAAAGTTGGAGAGGTACATGATCAACATGCGAGCCGTTATACCCCATGAAGGTAAGAAACGAAGGCGCGACGAAGATCTACAGGTCTTGATGTGCGAAGACTCGGAAGAAAAGAACGGAAACCGGAAGAATGCCGAGGCTAGAATCCGATGGCAAACGAAAGACGATATCATAGAAACATTATACTAGGCACTCAGTTTCAGAAGTCGAGAATGTCACCTTCAGTTGCAGAACCGGCTTTTTCCGACTGCAAATCAGCTGTGGTTTTGAATTGGTCGCTTAGAGGTTGAACAACAGCGCTGGGATTCAGATCAACGGTGAAGGCGTTGCCAGGGACTTGAATGGCGAGGGAGCAGCAGACGAGGACTAGGAGCAGAAGCACCACGCCCTGCACGTGGTGGGAGTTGAGGAAAGACATGGGGGAATTCATCTGCCACGTGGTATCAGCAGTCAGGGACGACGTGTTGTCGTTGGATGATCTCAAGGAAGCTGTGCTGTTTTTAGAGTGAGACGGAGTCGAGTTTCGCCTGCTGGCCATCACATGACGAGACGAGCAGTCGACCACTTCATGCCGCATGAGCAAAGAGCTAAGCAAGAGCAGGCAGATGCTGGGTTTCAGAGGTCGTACAATAATAGCTCAGTCGTCCCTTGAGATTGTCAGATGATGCGGTTGTGAAGCGGAAAGCTTTTCTGCAAGTCTCTACTGATGCTGCAAGCAAGAAAGAAAACAAGCGTTATGAAAGAATTGGAAGGAGAAAGGGGGGACGCATGTTGGTTGGTCCCCCGCGTGGTTGGTCGGCTCGGCTCAAGGAATCCCTCCGTGCATTCGGTGAATGCATGTTCATTTTGCGCAAACGCCTGTCCAGACCACCACGAGTTTGAAAATTTTGTGACTAGATTAGAAATAACTGCGGAATGAAACGCTCGTGGTCGTGGGAATGGGTCACTCACCAGCCATGTTCAACGGTCTGAGAAGACGGCACCGAACAAGCTTATTTTGCTGAGTACTGTACTGTATTTCCAGTTCAGAGGAGCTGACCGTCCTTGCACACTTTCACGTGGAGGTTGTACTCAAAGTGACATGCCAGCCAATCACCAATCAAATGCCCACACAAAATCAGCAACCACCTCGAGACTCTCGCGCAAATTCGTATTTCCAAGATTCCAGCGAAATGGCTGACTTGGAGACTCGTGTGGCACGCCGTGGTTGGATAAACCATCACAGATTCCATGACCCCTGCGCATGGTGGCACGTGTCAGATTTTGAAGTTCGTAGTGTAGTGCAGTTCTGTTAGTCTTCATGGAAATCAATAACACAATAACATTCTGGGTGAATGGACTTTCTTCAGAGCAATTTGACTGGCATTTCACTAATTTGAACCAAATAAATACTCAGCCATGGTGCATCAACATATCTTTTCCCTCCCCACAGCACGCATCATTTTGGCCATTAACGCACGAAGCCTTCTCAATTACTACTCTTTCTCGGACCGTTAATGGGCGCAACGCTTGTAGCAGTCGCTTGAAGAGCCTTGCCGCTGCCGCCTCTATCAAATACGGTAGAACAGCAATCCTCGGCCTAGAACCCACCATGCGTTGCCACGTGCTCCACCTCTTCCGCTGTGCTCTCCCTCCCCAGCACCTCATTCCTGTGGGGAAACCGACCAAACTTGACAATGACGTCACGGTGCTTGTGAGCGTAGCCCACCCACCCGGACAGGGAGTCCTTGAGTGCGCCTTCTGGTGCTTCTGCTACTGACTCTGACAGCAGCTGCACACACAGGTCTTGGTCTGCTAGGTCTGGTGGTGGGGGGAGGGTGAAAGGGAAGATGCAGGTTACTGAATGTCCAAGAAGTGAACACTCTCGTGCCTCTGCTACCGACTCCAACAGCAGCTGCACACACAGGTCTTGGTCTGGTAGGTCTGGTGAGGTGGGGGGAAGGGTGGGGTGAAGGGAGATGAGAGTTACTGAATGTCTCAAAAGTGAACACTTGAGAAGATCTGGTGCCTCTGCTAACGACTCCGACAGCAGCTGCACACACAGGTCTTGGTCCGGCAGGTCTGGTGGTGGGGGGAGGGTAAAAGGGAAAATGCAAGACACTGAATGTCCAAGAAGTAAACACTCAGGTGCCTCTGCTACCGACTCTGACAGCAGCTGGCAGCTGCACACACAGATCTTGGTCTGGTAGGTCTGGTGGTTGGGGAAGGGGAGGGGAGTTGGGTGGGTGAACGGGAAGATACTGATTGACATATGAATGAACACTTGAAGAAAATATCTGGTGCTCCAGCGGCTGACTCCGGCAGTAGCTGCCAGCTATACGCAGAGTCCTGTTCTGCTAGGTCTGATAGGAAGGGGGGGGGGGAGAGTTGCAGGAGGAAGTTTAAAACGGGGGCAAGAGACTGGGACTAATAATTAACCATTTGTGCAATGTCAAATGTTAAAGAGTAGCAATGTCAATGATCGGATTAAACAGTAAACAACATGAACGTAGTAATTAATTACAGAAAGCATTCAAAATTGACCCACCTTCTGAATGCATAAAGGGCATGTAGAAAAAGGATCGAATACGAGGGTGAAACTGCTTGTTGAATCCCTTAGCTATGGCCCTGCATTGCACATAATAACAATTTATCTTTGTGGTGAGGACAAGCGGTTGTACTAAAAAAGAAAAGAACTTGGAGAAAAACTTAAGAGACATGAACATAAAAGAGGAGCAAACGATAGTGTAGAAATGCATCAGCAATAAGTCTGTTAGACACGAGAACTGCACCAGCGTAGCACAGATCATGGCTTAGAGAACTTATGTGATCGGATAACCTGGGAGGTGATTCAATCCTGACGTTCCGAGCCGTCAGGAGGAGAAGGAGCAGAGAGCTAGTTGTGACTACCCAACAGTGTACGATATACAAAAGGGCCATAGACTTGCCTCACCTTTTTGCGACTTCACGGGCCAAAGCGTCCTGTAGTGGGAATGGCAGGGCGTGCGAGAAGATAAAAAGAATGGGAAGGTATAAAAAATAGATTCAACCCACGAATAGCCCCGAGGAGAGGATTTTTAAGGTGGGAGGAGAGAGGCCATAGGGAAGGAAGAGGAGAAGCATATGAGAAGGATTTTTTTGGCGAGTTAGAAAAGAGTTAGGAACGACAGTCAGTTGTTCAAAATTGCAGAAGAAAACGACTTCATTTGATAAAGGTGCTCGTAAAAATTTAGGTGGCATTGCTTGTGGTCCTACGCAAGGCGAAAGAATCGAGTGAGGGACTATATGCATTGCCGTAGTGGGCATTTAAGGTGCATGCTGCAGGGGGGGGGAGAGGGCTCTTGAGGAATTGGAGGTAGCAGTCAGTTGCAGAGAAATGGTATGGGTGAGTGAGCCATACACATGGAGTCTGCCGTGACGTGGACAGTGCTTGCAATGACGTGGACAGTGCTTGCAATGACGTGGGCAGTGACTGGGAAACGTGGCGTCAGCACTCACCTGAGCGAAGGAGTCAGGCGACCCTCTGAAGCTGTTCCTCGTGAACTGGTCCAGCAGCACGACCAATGCCAGCGCACCACGTGGCGTGTCCTCCCAGCCTGCCAGCTGGCCTGACGCCGCGAGTGGGATGAGGGGAGCGAATCTAGCGCGGATAAACGCGTCCACGTCAGCATCTTTGCGGAACCAGAGAGATTGCTTGGCTGCAATGACGTCATCTTCGGGTGCTGGGCCCTGCCAAGGAGGGTTGGAAACACAAGAAAATGCTGTGAGAAAATGCTGTGAAAAAATGGCAACATATCCCCCTTTCCAAGCCTATTAATTTCTCCCTGAAACCAACTCACAGCGTAATCAGGCGCCATGAAGTCGCCGAACCAGTAGACGAGAATCTCGTCAGCTGCCTTGTCCACGTCAGCAGGCGTCACGCCACTGCTGCTCGTCGCTACAGGACCATCGGAAGCCATTGCTGCCGCTGCTGTGGCTGTTAAGTGTCGAAGTTGGTTAGTACCACCACCAAAACAAGAAGCGGGAAGTTCTCGGAGAGCGACAGACGGTGCTGTCGATCCTGAGCAACGGTGCTTTCTGGTGCTACTGCTGTTGCTGCTGGTAACCCCGTAACTGCTAACGCTGAATCTTGACAGTCCAATCGAATTTCCTGAATGTGACTGCGCGTTGACAAAGTATTCTAGACGGGAAGGCACCCGTTGCGGCCTCCCAATGCCAGGTTTCTTTGACGAATCTGGGCAAGAGAAACGGATTTGCGAGAGAGGAAGAACCCAGCCTTTTCGAGCTCTCGAGAGAAGCGAGGCCTCGAGTCTGATGGCGAGCATAGGAAAATAACGGCCGTTTCCGCTTCAACGACTTAATGCGGCGAACCAGCGACTCGTCTCGGCCTTTCGACAGAAGCGTTCAATGGGGCGGCGACAAGACTAAGAAAAGGGACCTGTTCGTGCTGTGATCATGCGGAATCCGTAGTGTTTCTTGTCGCAGGCCTCACTGCTCAACACAAGCGAGGTTCTTGTAGTTTGGAGGAATGCTGGATCGCATCGAACACTGCAGTAATCTATCCTCACCGTTTCAGACCGCTCTTCTTAGCTTCCTGAACAGAACTATTCTCGAGTCTCATTCTTCGAAAGGGCTGCTGCGAAGGCAATTTTGCATTACCTCACATGCCCCTAGATACAGACCTCGCGCGCGGTACAGCTCGGTTGCTGCACAGGCCTGGAAAAACAAGTTGAAACACTCCAAATGCTAACAGGAAGTGTGCTGTGCTGGATGCATAATACTGAAATATTTCATATATCCATGTGAACTAGGTCCCGAACAAAGGCAGTTGCCAACATGTAGCAACAGGCTCTTCCCTTCCCACCAATGCTATTGGGACTCAGCAGCAGTTTCGGCTCCTTCCTCGTCCTCTGCGTTTGAAACACACACCCATCACAGCCATGCCATAAAGAGTATCAGAAGCAGGGCATGATAGCTTTTGCTGTTTTCATATAATCAATGAAATATGGTACAGTACATACATCAGGTAATGGCTGACATCTGGAAGACGTGCAGTCACGTCGTTTAATAGGTCATGATGGAGAACATGGAAGGTGGAATGGTATGATGTGTTTATGGAGAGAAAATTGGTTGAGAGTACATGCGAGAAAGAGGGAGAGGGAGAGGGAGAGGGAGAGGGAGAGGGAGAGGGAGAGGGAGAGGGAGAGGGAGGGAGGGAGAGAAAGAGAGAAATAGAGAGAGAGAGAGAGAGAGAGAGAGAGAGAGAGAGAGAGAGAGAGAGAGAGAGAGAGAGAGAGGTGGAAAAGAATGGGAGAGAGACATTTAACTACCGTGATCCTTGTGGGCTTCAACATCCTTGGGCGACGTCAATGGTTTCAGCTCCTCTCGTTTGGCAGACCCTCCTCCCCCACCACCACGGAAGTTTTGCTTCACAGTAGATTGCTGGTACATCACCCCACCAACGATTGTAATGAACAGACAGAGCACTCCAAACGGGGATGCGTGCTTATCCCATATCATCACGTTGATGACGACAGTCAGCAGCTTGTTCGTCACGCCAAGTACAGTAAACGCCGTGGCTGAAATCGCTTTTCTGCAGGCGAAACCGAAGAAGCTTATGGCGAGGCCGAACGCGCAGGACAGCAGCACGGGGAAGATGATCCCGAAATCCCACGAAGCCGTGCTCGCGGCTTTAATCGTCTCGCGAAATTCACCCGTGATCATCCAGAAAACGGGAGCCATGAGGAGGGAGAGGAAGTTGTTGTAAAGGACGAAACCCCAGGTGTTCAGTCCCAGGCTGGTGACTATATGCTTGATGTACACCATCTCGAATGTGATTGTAAAGAGGTAAGCGAAGGCCCAGGTGTATGCTCGGACGGTGTACTGGCTGTCAGTGAACACGTAGCCTACAGCTCCCACTAGAATCACAACTAGCGCGCCGAGAGTGTAAGGCCCTGGCCATGGCTGCTTCCTGAATAAGTAATCCGCGAACGCGACGAGGAGAGGCGTGGAGGATCGGAAGATGATGAAGGTGTCGACATTTGCGTAGCGAAGCAGTGAGGTGTTGGTGAAAATCGCCATGTAGAATACGAAAGCGGCTGGAATGAACTTCTTGATCATGTCCCATCGGATCGGGTCGTGAACTAGGAGCTTAAATTGGCCGGATGTGATGACGGCGACGACGCACGTGAGGTATTGGAGAGAGGTTAGGAGGCTTGGGTAAGGGAAAACGCCGATGGCGAATTTGTTGATGATTGCGAGGAGGCTGGAGCAGAGAGCGTAACCGACGGCTAGCGGGAGAGCGGTTAAGTCGCCTAGGTTGATGTTGACGCCGAATAGCTTGACGCTCGTGTTCTCCTTGTACCACGGCGCCATTGCTGACGTGACTGGCTGATCGACAGAACGATTGCTACGTTACTGGCTGATCGACAGAACGAGACTAGCAAGCACTGTCGCTACCATGAGCGGGATCTACTACAATGGCAGCATGAATCAGTGAGATTTGAAGAACCGCCATAAATTACGCGCGCGAAGCAAGCTTCAAGTCGTTGACAAAGAACATTGGAATGGCGCGATGCCTAGGAGATCGATCATAGGTTAGGTGGAGCAGAAAGCATCTGATAGGGGCTGATGAAGTGAGTACGCAGCGAGAACAGGCGGACCGGAGAAATCAGGGGTGTGCTGTGGTTATTGGTTTTTCGCACGGTAAACAACGGTACGTGGCGAATTCGTGCTGGACATAATCCAGAAGGTGGTTTGATCGGATAACGGTTTGACGTGGTTTGGTCTGGTGTGAGTAGAATTAGGCTGTAACTACAGTCTTGCATGATTCGCTACAATAGACCAACACAATTTACATGTGAAATAAGTACTGAACGTGTAGTGGAGCAAGCTGAAAGGATTTTGGAGGGAAGGGGGAATGATCCGTGCTTGATGCGTGTCAGTCCGTCCCTCGGGATTTGGTTCCTGGAAATTAGTTCAAGCACCCATTTAGGACACTGAAAGCTTCCATTCTCGTCGCAGGCTCGTGTGTTGGACTAGCATTAATTTTGAACACATTCCGTGTTTTCGTGCGCCATAACATGGCTGTCGACTCGCAAGCCATCCGCCTGGCGTTCCTTCTCGAGCCAAGCCACAGCGTCAGCAGTTCGGATGGTTTTGATTATCTTGGAACCCGACGGTTTCTCCTGAAGACCAAAGCTCAAGACGCGACCCTCCAGCGACACGTAGGTGACTTTAATGATGCCTCCGGATGTCATAGTGTAACCCTCGATCCATGGACAATGCTCGAGCGGCAAAGATACGCTTTGACGCGCATCGAGTCTAGATATATGATACGGCATTAGGCGCTTGTTCTGCGTTCTCTGAATACGTTGTCGACGTGGATGGCTGAGGTATGCTCTCTCCTATCTCGACGTCGTTGCTGAGCGTGGTAACCACAACAGTTTCTGTACCCCATTATTTATATTGCGAATCGACCATACACAATTTGCTCCTCTGCGATTTCATTGCGCGCTTCGAAAAGTGGTTTGTGTCCTCCCTTCCTCCCGTTCCCCTCGTTTTCCCCCTTCTCCCTCCCCTCGTAGTTCCCTCGCACTCCCCTCGCCTTTCCCTCGCAATCCCCTCATACTCCCCTCTCACCCCCCTCACACTTCCCTCCCGCACCTCAGCACTGGCAGCACGTATCAGGGGTGGGCTACGCCGATTTCCGCGCCTTCCTGCGCGCTCAGCGGGACACGTGGCGGCAGGAGCGCGAGGCAAGCAGGGAGGAGGAGAGGCGCGCAGCACCCGCAGCGCCCTATGCTGACGTGGCACCTTCAGAAGCTACAGCAGGGCGGAAGGCTCAAGGGAAGGTCGATATGGGGGAGGTCAGCATGGGGGAAGAGGTTGATACGGGGAAGGCTGGTTCCGAGGAGGTTGTGGGGGGGTTGGGAACGGTTCAGATGGACGGGATGACAGTGGCTGATGTCCGCGGGGAAGAAGCAGGGTCGGAAGAAGACGGGTCAGAAGAACGTCTAACGAAGTCTGCAAGTGAGACTGATGCTGCGGGACAGAGTACCGTTGCTGGTGATGCGAGTGCTGGTGCTGGTGCTGGTGGTGCGGATGATGCTGCTTCTGGTTCTGCCGTTCCCGATGTTGCTGCTGATGCTGCCGAGACCTCCAAAAGCACTGACACGGCTGCTCCTTTCACGGGTGGCAGTGCTGCTGACTCCATAGCTGCTGCTGTAGCAGCAGCGCTTGGAAAGTCAGAGCCTGCGCCAGCCACTCAACCAGTAACAACCGCGCATGCTGCTGCTGCGTCTTCTAAGGCTGCTGCTCCCACCTCTGATGGGGCTGAGGAGCACAGAGAAAGCGGAATACAGGAGGAGGTGGCGATACGGGTAAGCGCAGCCAGTGGCGCAGGTGCTGGTGTCTCTTCTGGCATGGACGCGGAGAGAGGAGATGAGGGAGGTGGGAGTGAAGGTGCAGCATTATCATCTGTAGCAGCAGCGGAGGAGGAAGAAGCGGAGGGAGCAGGAGCAAAGAAAAGAGACGGAGGAGCAGGGGCGGCACCATCAGCAGCGTCGTCGTCAGCTGTATCAGCAGAAGCAGCGGCAGTAGATCAAGACAACAAGTCCAGGAAGTCGTCAACGGCAGTGGCAGCATCGGACAATAAGCAGCAGCAGGACGGCAAGCAGCAGGATAACCAGCACAAGGACAGAAAGCAGGACGAGAGCAAGCAGCCGCCGTCCCCTCCGTCCCTCCCTGCTGGCTTCACCTCCTCCATCTGCAGCGTTCCCCCAGAGGCTTCTCGCAATGTTCTTCCGCCTCCGCCTCCTCGCACTGGCCCTGCCAAGACAGCAGCGGCATCAGGCGAAGCGGAGGGGAAGAAGGGAGCGAGGAGAGGGAGCGACGGGGCAGGGAGCGAGGGGGGTGGGGGGAAGGCGCTGGAGAGGAGGAGATCAGCAGGGGAGGCGGTAGCAGGGCGGGGGAGTGGAGAGGCGGGGCCACCTGTGCGCATGTGTGCTGTCTTCGATGACTGCCTTGCTTCAGGTGGGACAAGGTTTATGAGGCGGCTCAGGGTTTAGGGGGGAAGGGAGAGGGGGAGTGGGGAGGTGGGCCCGCCTGTGTGCATGTGTGCTGTCTTCGATGACTGCCTTGCATCAGGTCTGGCAATGACACTGACACTGACATTGACTCTCACGCTCACACTCACACTCACACTGGCACTGATACTAACACTGACATTGACACTCACACTCACACTCACATTGGCACTGACACCTGCTCCCTAAACCTTTCTTGTGTACCTATTTGTCAACTGAATATGTGCCTTGTTACTCTCCACGTGTGTGCCCCTTCCCAACACTCAGGCCGTAGTGCACCTGAGTTCCTACTCCCCCGCTCCATTCCAACACCCCCTCACCATCATGCCCCTCCCGCCCACATCTGATTCCCTACTCCAGTGAACAAAGTTGCAATTCGCTTGGCACCACCCTGACCTGCTCGCCTACCCTGCTGCTTTGTGCGAAACGCGCCTTTTTCCACTCACCCCTTCCCCTCTTTCCTTCCCCACCACTCCTCCCCTCCCCTCACCTCCCCCTCCCTGCAGTGAACAAGGTGCAGTTCGCCCGGCACCACCCTGACCTGCTGGCCTATGGGGCAACGTGCCAAATACACCTCTCCTCCCGGCCCATTTCCCCGCCCTTTTCCCAGTAAACAAGGTGCAGTTCGCCTGGCACCACCCGGACCTGCTGGCGTATGGGGCAGTGTGCCATGTGTGCCAAATGCACCTCCTCCCTCCATTTCCCCCACCCCTGCAGTGAACAAGGTGCAGTTCGCCTGGCACCACCCGGACCTGCTGGCATACGGGGCAACGTGCCAACGTGTGCCTAATGCCCCACCCTTACCTGCTTGTTCCAAATGCACCTCTTCCCCGTCTCCTCCCCCTCCCTGCAGTGAACAAGGTGCAGTTCGCGTGGCACCACCCCGACCTGCTCGCCTACGGGGCAACGTCTGCCTAATGCCCCTCTTTCCACCCACTATGGAAATCCCTTTTGTTCCCCCCTGCAGTGAACAAGGTGCAGTTCGCCCGGCACCACCCCGACCTGCTCGCCTACGGGGCAACGGATGGCACGCTGCGGCTGTGCTATGTGCCGTGCAGCCGGGGGGGCAGTAAGGCAGGCGGCGCAGGGGGGAAGAGGGGTGGTATGGGTGTGGCGCGAGTGAAGCACGAGCTCAAGGGGCACACCAAGGAGGTCACCGGTGAGTGAAGGAAAGTGGGCAGACCCATCCTGCTGTGTAGAAGTAGCTCCTGCATAAGTTGACTCAATACACATGAAGAGGAAGAGGGGTGGTATGGGTGTGGCGCGAGTGAAGCACGAGCTCAAGGGGCACACCAAGGAGGTCACTGGTGAGTGAAATGAAGCGGGCAGAGAAATTAGTTGACTCAATGCACAGGGAAGAGAAGGAGCACTGCGAGTGTGGCGCGGGTGAAGCATGAACGCAAGGGGCACACCAAGGAGGTCACAGGTGAGTGGATTCGAATGGGCCGAACCATCGTGCTGTGGAGTAGTTTTCTTTATAGTTGACTCTTCACACATGGTTGAAGAGGGGCGATGCGAGTGTGGCACGGGTGAAGCACGAGCTCAAGGGGCACACCAAGGAGGTCACAGGTGAGTGAAGGAAAGTGGGCAGAGAAATCAGTTGTCTCAACACACGGGAAGAGAAGGAGCACTGCGAGTGTGGCGCGGGTGAAGCATGATCTCGAGGGGTACGGCAAAAAGGTCACTGGTGAGTGAAATCAAACAGATTATGTCAAGTTCTCCGACTTAGGTCAATACGCATGGGATGGAGGGAAGTGTGAGTCATTTCAATTCTCATGCTGCACCCGCCTACCCATCAATCCCACGTGGCAGACTTTGATTGGTCCATGGATGACGACTACCTGTGCTCGTTATCCGCAGACAAGAGTGTGCGCGTGTGGGACGTGGAGTCGGGGCAGTGCCTGCGCATCATCCACCTACCCTACGCGGGACTTGAGTCACCTCTTTCTCTTCTGTGTGATCCACTGCACTCCACCTAGGACCAGTCTCATCATCTCTTGCTGCACCCACCCGTCCAACCATCCCACCCAACCGCGCACACATCCCTCCCACGTGGCAGACTTGATTGGTCCACGGATGATGACTACCTGTGCTCGTCATCTGCGGACAAGAGTGTGCGCGTGTGGGACGTGGGATCAGGGCAGTGCCTGCGCATCATCCACCTACCCTACGCGGGACTTGACTCACCTCTTTCTCTTCTGTGTGATCCACTCCACTCCACCGGTCTCCACTCCACTCTTCTTTTCTATGACCAGTCTCATCATCTCTTGCTGCACCCGCCCGTCCATCCATCCCACCCACCCGCGCACACATCCCTACCACGTGGCAGACTTTGATTGGTCCACGGATGACGACTACCTGTGCTCGTCGTCGGCGGACAAGAGTGTGCGCGTGTGGGACGTGGGGTCGGGGCAGTGCCTGCGCATCATCTACACGCTCATTCCACATCATCCACCTACCCGGGACTTGAGTCACCTCTTTCTCTCCTCTCTGCGATCCACTCCACTCCACCCCACCTATGATCAGTCTCACCATCTCTTGCTGCACCCGCCCGTCCTTCCATCCCACCCACCCGCGCACCCATCGATCCCACGTGGCAGATTTTGATTGGTCCACGGATGACGACTACCTGTGCTCGTCATCCGCAGACAAGAGTGTGCGCGTGTGGGACGTGGGGTCGGGGCAGTGCCTTCGCATCATCTACACACTCATTCCGCAGACCTGCATCATCTTCCACCCGGTAAGCACCAACACAAACAGGATGGATGGGGCATGAATGCGGCAGCGTCCTTGTGCCTGCGCATCATATACACGCTCATTCCGCAGACCTGCATCATCTTCCACCCGGTAAGAAAGATTTACATGGCATGTGGTGGGTGGGTGGGTGGGTGGGTGGGTGGGTGGGTGGGCGGGGCAAGCAGCATGCAGTCCATCTGTGCCTGCACGTCATCTACACCCTCATTGCGGAGATCAGCATCATTTTCCAGACTTCCACCCAGTGAGAACGCTTTCTTGACATCACATGGTTGTTAAGATCGGACGTGCAGCACTCTCACTCCCTGGTGGTGGCAGGCAAACAGCAAGAGGGAACTGACAGTGATGAACTTTAGCACGGGGCGAGTGGTGAGCCGCGTGGCCATGGACAGCAACGTCACTGCTCCCTTCCTCCCCTGACCTGACCCCCCACCAGCAAAATAACAACTTCCTAGTTGTGGCGAACAGTAAGAAAGAGCTGAGTTGACCGTGATGAACTTCAGCACGGGGCGAGTGGTGAGCCGTGTGCCCATGGACAGCAACGTAACTGCCCTCGTCGCCGACCAAACCACTACACACACACAGCAGCAGCAGGCTCTGCCAACAGCAGGAGCTGACATGACAGTGATGAACTTTCTCTGTGCTCTTTTCCGCCTCTCCCCCCCTCCCGCCTTCTCAACTGGCAGCAAAACAACAACTTCCTAGTCGTTGCAAACAGCAAGAAAGAGTTGACAGTGATGAACTTCAGCACGGGGCCATTGTTAGCCACGTGGCCATGGACAGCAACGTCACTGCTCCCTTCCGCCCTCTCCCTCCCCCCCCCCCTCAATGGCAGCAAAACAACAACTTCCTAGTCGTAGCAAACAGCAAGAAGGAACTGACAGTGATGAATTTCAGCACGGGGCGAGTGGTGAGCCGCGTGGCCATGGACAGCAACGTCACTGCCCTTGTCGCCGACCGAACCACCTCAGCTACACCAGCAGGTTCTGCCTCCACCAGCGATGGAGGAGGAGGAGTAGGAGGAGTAGGAGGAGTACGAGGAGGAGCAACGAGCAAGGCTGGATCAGCTGCTGCAGCGGCGGCGGCGGCGGCGGGGGTGGGGAGTGGTGGGTTCGGAGGGGGAGCAGGGGAGGCGGACAGGGTGGTGTTTGTGGGCGACAGTGAGGGCGCCATTCACAGCTTCACCGTGGACAAGCAGTCGGGCGCTCTCCAGCGCCGCCACAAGACCGTTGCCGGGGTCGTGCACCCGGCACCAGTGGCTTCGCTTCATTTCAGCCCCACGTCTGTGCTGGCGAATGGACCCGTGCTGCTGGCATGCAGCAAGGATGGCTGTGTGCGCTTCTACACGTGAGTATTGGTGGAGAATGGGACGGGCGCAGTTGCTTCTTGTTCTGTAAGAGAGACTACCTTTTTCTTCATGTCTTTCCACTCCAGTCCGTCTCTCCATTGATCACCCCTATCCCCCCAGCACTGCCCTCGAGCTGACCCCATGTCATCCCCCAAGGCGTCTTTGAGTTTTGAAACGTCTCAAACTCAAAATTCCAGGCATCTCAATCCCCTATCCCCACCAGCACTGCCCTCAAGCTGACCTGCCTTGTCGTCTCCCAAGGCGTCTTTGCAGCTCACCTCACCCTGCACTAGACTGGCCTTTTCTGACCTTCCGCCCTTGGATGCGTTGTCTCTACCCCTTTACCTCCCTTCCAACCCACTAGCACCGCTCTGGAGCTGAACGGCTGCCTCTTCTTCAAGATCCCGCTGCAGCTCTCATCTCATCTCTCTTTAACCACTCCATCCCTTTATGTTATATTATCCCACTTAACCCACCAGAACCTCTCTGGAGCTCAATAGCTCTCTCTTCCTTCATTTCTCACCTTTCTATCCCGTCACGTGCCTGCACCACCCTCCCTCCCCTCCCACCCATCCCCACCCACCAGCACCGCTCTGGAGCTCAACGGCTATCTCTTCCGCATGATCTTCAACTTTGTTGTCTCTCTGCCCTGCCTGCCTTCGCCTGCCCTCCACCCCTTCCCCTCTCATCCCCACTCATCCCCACCCACCAGCACCGCTCTGGAGCTGAACGGCTACCTCTTCCTCAAGATCTCGCTGCAGCTCTCCTCTCGAGCCACCAACATGAATGCTGCCTTCTGCCCCCCACTTGGTCCCTCCGGGTCGGGGGAATATATCGGTGAGTCTGGAGGGCATCCTATAGTGTTTTCCTATAGTGTTTTCCTCGGGGTCGGGGAATATATCGGTGAGTCTCGCATGTTGTCTGTCCACCCCCTTCCCTCACTTCAACATATTCCTCCAGTAGTGGACCTTCCTGCTGCTCATCGCGTCGTTCTCTTCACACAGTTCCCACTACTCCGTTCCCATTCTACTCTTCCCATCCTGCCCCCACTGTCGCTGCTCTCATGTCACTGTCCCCATGCCGCTCTTCCCATGCATGCAGTGACGGGCAACGCGGACCACAACGTGCACTTTTATGACTTCATGAAGCCTCCACTGCTTGTTATGCTGACAACTGGATTCATCTTCCCTCTTTCCCCATCCCGCTGTCCCCGTGCTGCCCCCGTGCCACTGTCCCCATGCCGCTCTTCCTGTGCATGCAGTGACGGGCAATGCGGACCATCACGTGTACTTCTACGACTTCATGAAGCCGCGCAGTCCGCTCGTGGCCCGCGTGCCGGTGAGTTTGACGGCGACTTTTGAATCGACTGAAAAGGTCCTTTGGGCCGACTCAATGTGCCGACAAACACGTGTTTGTACGATTTCATGAAGCCTCGCAGTCCGTTGGTGGCCCACGTGCCGGTGAGTGTGGCAATGACTGTTGATTCAACTCAATTTGACGTTCAAGTCAACCAAATGCAGATCATTACAGGTGCTTCATGGCTCAAAAAGCCGCACGGTCCACTTGTGGCCCACGTGCCAGTGACTGGCATACTTTTTTCCACAGTGATGGTGGTGGATGTGAGTTGAAACATCAACTCCTCGCTTTCCTTCTCTCCACACCTCCCCCTCCCCCATCTCCCCGTCTCCTCACACTTCTCTCGCTCGCAGGGTCACAAGGCAATGGTGGTGGATGTGAGTTGGAACAACAGCAACACGGTGCTCGCCTCCTGTGACTGTGATGGGGTGGTGGCACTGTGGCAGCGAGTATAGCTCCTGATGACTAGTGTGTGCCTCACTAGCCTGTTGGAACAACAGCAACACGGTGCTCGCCTCCTGTGACTGCGATAGGGTGGTGGCGCTGTGGCAGCGAGTATAGCTACTGATAGTGTGTGCCACGAGCATCTTTTGTTTGTGTCCCTCAAAACCAGTTTGATAGCGTGTGTGTGCATCTTAAAGCCAGGGTCTCAAGTACTACGAGTGTTTTGCAGTTGCTGTTGAAAGTTGGGCTGTGATTGGTTGGCGAGGTGAAAGGTTTGAAGTGGGGAGAAGCGAGGGGTGCGAAGCGAACGCAAATCGTTGGGTGTATCCGAACCTTCTAGGCTTGGAAACTTGGTTCGAAACCAAACCTAAAATGCCCCCAACTTATCGAAAGTCTCAAGTACCCAAAAGTGTTGTGCAATCGCTTCTGGGGCACTGACGGGGTGTGTCGCACGCTGATTTTCCAAACCAACCAGAAAGAACTTCGTCTGAAATAACTAGGTAACCTAGCTTCAACTGCAAAGCAGTTGACAGCTCCTTAGCTTACTTGAGACCCTGGCTTTAAGCACCCGTTGGAACAACAGCAACTCACATTGCTCGCCCAACCGTGACACGGCTCTTGGCAGTAAAGCTCCTGATAGTGTCCGAATTGAATCCACAGCATAGCTCCTGATAATGTGCACCTTAGTGTGTGCTTCACAAGCATCTCTTGGAGCGCTAGCATCCCCGTGACTGCAATAACGAGGGGGTGTTGCGGGCAGCGGGAGCGAGCTGTGATGTGATGATGTGACTGGTCTGTGCGTGCGAGGCGAAGGCACTACCTGCTCTGCTCTACCAGCAGGCTCGCTCAATAGGTAGTTATTTCCATGTGATGTTGCTGCCGGCAGGAGGTAAGGCTCATCCAGCCACTTGACAATCAGTCTGAATAAACTGACCACATCATATCATGTGAATAAAAATGCCAGACCAGGAGACAGTAACAATGTCTTACAAGGCAATTAACAAATCATATGCACGAAGGGCTGGCAGAGAGTGAACGTGCGAGGGTTGGCAACATGCTTTCCACTGCACGTTGCTTCTTACATACATTCAGTGGCTGGAACTCCCAAGAGCCAGCAGGATGGGTCTAAATACCACCATAGTGCAACACCGTCACGACGACTCACAGCAGCCAAGTGGGGGATGATCCGCCCGCAAGCAAAGCCTACGAACTGGAGATGCCTAATCACCCCCAGCTTCTTTCTCCCCTCCCTCAGCCCCCTCCCCTCCCTCTTCTTTTGCTGCAACTGCACCCGTATCAGCCTCAGTTCCTTCTGCTCCTCGTGCCCCCCCTGCCCCCCCTGCTCCGCCTGCTTCCCCCGCGTCCTCCTCACTGCCCTTCACAGTGCCCACCACGTCATATTTGAACTGCAGCGACGACTCCCAGTCCCTCAGAGTCTCCATCTCCGAGTAGGAGAGCCCTGTGAGATCCCCCACGGCGTCCCTAGGATCGGTTGACATCTTGGCAAACGCACGGCTCGCCTCCTTCCCTGCGAACACTGCATAGGGGCCTCCTGGGCCGTAGAAGTGCCTGGGAATGGGGAAGTGAGGTGGAAAAGGGAGTGCATGTACTTGCAATTTTATACGTTGTTGACATTTTGACAAACGCACGGCTCGCCTCCTTCCCTGCAGACACCTCATAGGGGCCTCCTGGGCCGTAGAAGTGCCTGAGTAAGGGGGAGAGGGGAGGGGGTTCGGTGAAAGGGGGGAGGAGAGAGCAGAATGGAGTTCTGAGTCACCACAATTATTTCTTCCCTTAATACATTTCTCAGAATGGGTCAGCTCTGTCAGACCCCCACAACATCCCTGAGTCCTGTTAAACTCCAGTTAGGCATCATGACTAGGACTCTGTGAGTGAGTCTATCAAAATTTCCAGGCGGAGAAATTGTGGGATACATGATAAGCACTCACCGCAAAGGGTCTAAGACACCTCGTTTGACATGCGATTGGACGCCCATTTTGACATGCGATTTGACACCCAGTTTAATATATGCACTTAGCCACAGGGTAGAAAGAACAGTCACTCACTTTCCACGAGTCACATCGTAGATTTTCCCTCGAATGGCCTGCGCAGGAGAAGGGAATGGGGGAGAAGAGGGAGAAGGGAAGGGAGGAGGGGAGGAAAAACGGGACGGCAAAAGGTGGAGGAGAGAGGGAGAAGGGTAGGGAGAATGAGGGAGAAGCGCATATATATGAAAAGGCGATGAGGTGATAGAAAAGACACTGATAAGGCACTGCGATACGGGCGACGATTGAAACATCGCCAGGAAGACAGAAAAACGCATATCACTCACCAGAAGAATCGGTTTCTCTGGGTCGCTGCCGCTATACTGGCTTAGCTCCTCGAGGGTAATTTCCCCTATTTTAATCGGCTCCGGTGGCCCCGGCACTGGCGGCGGAACAGGCGCAGCGCGGTGCTGAAAGTACGAGAAGATGACGTAGATGATCGACGCGATGAGAACTAATAACGAGATTGTTGTTGACGGAGCAAGCCCTGTGGCTTCTTGCACGTACGCCAGAAAGGTTTGTACCGGGGATAGAGCAGTCGACATATTGCTGGAGTAGAGCGAGCGTGAGGTTCGTCAGTGACAGTGTGCAGAGGCAAGGTGAAACCGAGAACGCGCGAATTTACGGAATTAGGTCGAATCTGATAATTATAAACAATCGCTACTGGAAACAAGAGGAAATTACAGGTTTAGGTCGCGTGAAAACGAACGAACGCGACGTCAAGTCAGGGCGAACGGTGCGAGGAGAAGCGTGACTTATTCTCGCAGGTTGCGATGTCTGCCTGGAGACGAGACTACCAAAAGCCAGGGAAATTAACAAGGGCAAGGCAGGGAGTATCCATCTGCGGTTGACAGGAAGTGAAAAATGGCGCAAGATAGCGGTGTCTACGCGGATTTCTAGACTCGAAACCAAAAGGTGCAGCCTCGGTGATGACGGGACGAATCAGGTAGGATTCAACGCAACAATGCTGGGGGTCGGGCGTTGTTCAAAGCGTGTGTTTCTTGAACCATCCAGATTTTGTTTCAAGAACCTACGGCTGGTTCGGGCGAGTTCGAGCTTCCAACCGCACTTAACCGTATCTGACCATTAGAAATTCGAAACGAACGTTCCCTGAATATCTAACAAATGTCGAGCTTATACCTTGGAACGAATTTCTAAGCATGCCCTAAGAGTCACATCACACACCAAGTGTCCATGCGCGCTCATGTGCTTGCATAAAGTAGCGGTACCAATCAGCGAGCTAGCATATCCGTTGCATGCGTGAGTTCCGCGCTAGTACAGTTGCTTGATGCTTCTGGCGGTGGCGAACCGACGATACGTCCCTAAACCGTCATGCAGCGATTTCGCGATACGATGTCCTCTCGTCGATCTCTCTATGTTCGTGATGTTTGCTTGTAGGACTGAACCTATGACCCATGGCTGAACTATATCGCGTCTTTCGGACTTGATCTGCGAGCAAAATTGCCGTAACAAGCAATGCCGATCACGAACGAATAATGTTCACGAATCGGTTTCAGGCCAGACTCTGACAAGGCTCATACCAGGTTCTCACCAGACGCAGATCCTAGAGGGACGTAAGCAAGTAGTGGTACGCGTGTCAGTCTTACTCTAGAAGGTAGCGTGTCAGGCTTAATTTCAGGCTAACTTTCTCGAGAGCAGGAAGGCCTGTCGAACTAGAGCCGAACCAGGCCAAGCAGTCGTCAGCGTGACGCCACTAGGTGACTTCCAAATTGACGACTCACAAGTCAGACTTACCTTCGAAAGCAGGAAGGCTTTCGAGTTACTAGAGCCGGTCAGTCCAGGCCAAGCAGTGGTTAGCGTCAGCGTCACATCACCGGGCGTACCTTCGAGACCACCTTCGAGACCACGCAGGCCTGTCGAACTAGAGCTGGCCCGGGTCAAGCAGTTGTCAGCGTGACGCTTCTAGCGTTGTCAAGACGCCATGGTCCTAGGTAAGTCCATGGTTGCTCTGCTCTTGTAACACGGCTACCCTGCTTTTGTAACATCCGAGGTCTTCCATAGGTACTGTTCTTCCGTAGCATCTGCGGCAATCCCATGGTTACTTTGCTCATGAAACTAACAATGTAGGTTTATGGGTACTCTGCTGCTGTGCCACTGTAACAGGGTTAGTCTGAGCCTATCCAACTCGGGTTGTTTGTGCATCCAACGTTGCCATCAATACTCATCTACGAAGTGTTAAGTCTGGAACTAACCAGCGTCGTCTGTCTGTCTGTCTGTCTGTCTGTCTGTCTGTCTGTCTGTCTGTCTGTCTGTCTGTCTGTCTGTCTGTCTGTCTGTCTGTCTGTCTGTCTGTCTCATACTGTGCACCCCACTGCATGGCTGGGGCAGGCTTGCCAGGCTCCTGAGGGGTTGCGTGCCAAAAAAGAAAAAGAAAAACAGAACAAGGCTACCTACCTCTTGGCCCCGTGGCACAGTTGTTCTCGTCTGTCCCGTACTGTGTTGTACGTTACAAATCTCGCGAATCTTGCGAGGCGTTTGAGGGTTTGTTACAGGATTTTGAAGGCTTATGCTCTAGGGTTTCAAGAAAAGGTTCTTATGCACCCCCCCTGTGGCATTTGTGTGCAGACCTGCCAGGCTTTTACTAAGATGAGGCTACCAACCGCTACTTCGCCTGCCCAGACCTCACGGCCTCGTGGCATGCGTCTTTTCTTCTGTCTGTCCCATACTCTGCACCCCATTGCATGTGTGTGCAGACCTGCCAGGGTTCTACTATGACGAGGCCAGCAACCGCTACTTCCGCCTGCCCAGACCTGGTGCTCCAACCCCCGCGCACTCTCCGTTAGCAGCAGCTGGTGCTGTACATGCCGCAGAGGGAGGAAGAGGAGGTGGAGGAAGAGGACGAGGAAGAGGAGGACGAGGAGGAGAAGGTGGAGGTGTGGAGAGAGGAGGAAGTGGGGATAGGGGCAGAGGAGGAGAGAGAGACAGGCACAGCAGACCCAACCCATCGTCCCCGACAGTGTTTGAGAAAGTTCCCAACGTTTTTCAGCTCCTGCGTGAGAGGGAGGCAGGGAATCGCTGCTGGCACCCCTCCGTAGTGTCACATTCGCTAAGAGAACAGGGTTCGCCTGTGTGTGAAGCTCATTCGTTAAGAGCACAGTGCTCGATAGAGTCACAGCCGTCCACGGAAAGGAGGAGGAGGAGGAAACGAGGGCAAGAGGGTGCAGAGGGGCTTCGTGCAGAGGGGCAGCAGGATGGGTCCCTTCGCCCGTGCACGGAGCATGGTGGTCATAGCCATCGTAGTTATTGTAGTCATGGTGATGATGTTAACCATGTTAATGATGGTCATGACGATCGTACTAGACATGGTCATGCTGGTGATCGTGATGGTGACAGTGGCCGTGGGGGTTGTCTGTCAGCGGCTCAGCCGGTGTCTGGTCGGGTGTTTGAAACAGCAGTTCGCTCTTCTGGAGTGCGGAACCCCAAGGTGAGGAAGGCCCAAGGTGAGGAAGGCCCAAGGTGAGGAAGGCCCAAGGTGAGGAAGGCCCAAGGTGAGGAAGGCCCAAGGTGAGGAAGGCCCAAGGTGAGGAAGGCCCAAGGTGAGGAAGGCCCAAGGTGAGGAAGGCCCAAGGTGAGGAAGGCCCAAGGTGAGGAAGGCCCAAGGTGAGGAAGGCCCAAGGTTCGCGCGCCACTGCTGCTCCATCCATCTGCCTTCACCGCACACAACTCCTGCTCCATCTACCTTCACCGTACACCACTCCTGCTCCATCTGCCTTCACACGACTCCTGCTCCATCTACCTTCATCGCATTCCACTGCTGCTTGTGTTGTGCCTTTGCGTCTGTACTTACAGGTGTGGCAGTACGAGGAAACAGCAAGGGCGTGTGATGCGGGCATGGCAATGATGCATGTGGTGGCACAGGGGGAGGAGGGTGGTTTTGTGCGCACTGGCATGCTTGTGGGCCATCGATCGGGGGATGTGAGGTGAGGATTGGAACAAGGGTGATGTGAAGAATGCTTTTCGAGAATTCTCAAAAAACATTCGAGCGGAGTTGACAGACGGATTGGTCATTGGTGTGGCAGGTGAGGCGTTGCAGAGTGTGTGATGCTGTGAGGTGAGGATTTCGTGGTCGACTTAAAAACCAACCTATGACACATGATGGCGTATCGTAGGTAGGTAGGTCATCATCCTCTTACCTCATCACATCTCTGTTCCCAAGGAGCCGTCACGCTCTCTTGATATTGCTCCCCTGATTCCTCTCTCACACGTCATGTCGCCTTCTTCCCCACCAGCCTTCTGGAGCTTACAGATCATGAAGACACTCTGTCTCCTCCGTTTTTCCTGTTCCCTCTCGAATGCCTTGCCATTCCACTTTGTTCCCCAACAGCCTTCTGGAGCTCACGGATCATGAAGACCCTTCATCCGAGTTGCCTGCCTTCACTTGCCCATCCCTGCTCGATCCCTGCCCGATCTTTGCCCGATCCCTGCCCGATCCCTGCCCCATCCCTGCCCCATCACACCCTCGCTCCCCAACAGCCTTTCTTACGCTCACGGATCATGAAGACCCTTCATCCGAGTTGCCTGCCTTCACTTGCCCATCCCTGCTCCATCCCTGCCCCATCCCTGCCCCATCCCTGGCCCATCCCTGCCCGATCGCTGCCCCATCCCTGCCCCACCCCTGCCCCATCACACCCTCGCTCCCCAAGCAGCCTGTTGGAGCTCACGGATCATGAAGACCCTTCATCCGAGTTGCCTGCCTTCACTTGCCCATCCCTGCCCCATCCCTGCTCCATCCCTGCCCGATCCCTGCCCCATCCCTGCCCCATCCCTGCCCCATCCCTGCCCGATCCCTGCCCGATCACACCCTCGCTCCCCAGCAGCCTGTTGGAGCTCACGGATCATGAAGACCCTTCATCCGAGCTGCCCCACCGAACTCGTCCCACTGCCCACCAGCACCACACGCCGTGGCTCCTTTCTACAAGCAGCACCTCTCTCCTGCTCATCCCTCTCCCTATCGTTCATCCTTGCCTCGTCACACCTCTGTTCCAACAGCCTTTTTGAGCTCACGGATCATGAAGACCCTTCATCCGAGTTGCCTGCCTTCACTTCCCCATCCCTGCTCCATCCCTGCCCCATCCCTGCTCCATCCCCGCCCCATCCCTGCCCCATCCCTGCCCCATCCCTGCCCCATCACACCCCAACAGCCTTCTGGAGCTCACGGATCATGAAGACCCTTCATCCGAGTTGCCCCACCGAACTCGTCCCACCGCCCACCAGCACCACACGCCGTGGCTCCTTTCCACGGGCAGCACCATCTCCAGATCCGGGCAGCACATCGAAAATCTCGACCTGCCCGGACCGTCTCCCCCTCCGGCTTGGACTAGCTCGCACTCCCTCTTTCTGGGGTCGGACGTCACTGCCATTCGCACCCTCCCTTGGGGCAGCAGATCGATTGGTGATGCTGGTGCTGCTGGCAGCTGTGCAGTGTGAGTGGGTGGGGTTGGTGGGGGAAGTGGGGTATTGCACGTCACTACCACTCGCTAGAATGCTCGCACTCCCTCTTTCTGGGGTCGGACGTCACTGCCATTCGCACACTTCCTTGGGGCAGCAGATCGATTGGTGATGCTGGTGCTGCTGGCAGCTGTGCAGTGTGAGTGGGTGGGGTTGGTGGGGGAAGTGGGGTATTGCACGTCACTACCACTCGCTAGAATGCTCGCACTCCCTCTTTCTGGGGTCGGACGTCACTGCCATTCGCACACTTCCTTGGGGCAGCAGAGCGGCTGGCGATGCTGGTGCTGCTGGCAGCTGTGCAGTGTGAGTGGGTGGGGTAGGAAAAGGGGGGGGAAGAGGGATGGGGAAGGGTAGGCTGCCGGGTTTGGGGCTAGGAAGCTCGCACTCAATCTTTTTGGAGTCGGACGTCGCTGCCATTCGCACACTCCCTTGGGGCAGCAGAGCGGCTGGTGGTGATGCTGCTGCTGCTGGCAGCCTTGCAGTGTGAGTGGTAGGGGAGGGAGAGGGGGACGCAGGGTGGGAAAGTAGATGACATTGGGGTTGGGGGCTATGAAGGTCACGGCCATGCCATGCCAAACTCACCCACTTACTTGTAGCTTTTATTTTTTTAGAATTCTCAAAAGCCATACGCTGGCCATGCCATGCCATGCCATGCCATGACATGCCAAATTTACCCACTTCCTTGGGTCTGTGGGCTGTTGGTGGCGATTCTGCTGCTAATGCTGGCAGCTGTACATTGTGAGTGAGTGGGCTTGGGATGGGGTGTGAGTGGGCAGGGAAAGTGAGTGAGGGGTGGGCTGCTGTGGTGGTGTGGTGCTCACACTCCCTCTATCCGAGATCCCTTATAACTGTAACAAGCTGCCCTTTTTCCCAGTCTAAGGTTCCTTCTCCCCACTCCCGTACCTTCCCATCCATCCTTCCCAGCATCACAACTCTAGGTTCAGGGGGGCACCCGGCCTTTAAGGCGCCTCAAAAGTGAGTGAGGGGTGACTCCCGTTCCTTCCCATCCCATTCCTTCCCATCCATCCTTCCCAGAATCACAACTCTAGGTTCAGGGGGGCACCCGGCCTTTGAGGCGCCTCAAAAGTGAGTGAGGGGTGACTCCCGTTCCTTCCCATCCCATTCCTTCCCATCCATCCTTCCCAGCATCACAACTCTAGGTTCAGGGGGGCACCCGGCCTTTGAGGCGCCTCAAAAGTGAGTGAGGGGTGATTCCCGTTCCTTCCCATCCCATTCCTTCCCATCCATCCTTCCCAGCATCACGACTCTAGGGTCAGGGGGGCACCCGGCCCGTGTGGTGCTGGCTGCTCTCGACCTCGCAGGCTCTTCTGGTGCAGGCACAACTGATTGCGGCCAACATGGCTCTTTCCCCTCTTTCTTTCCGTCCCCATCCTTTCCAGCATCACAACTCTAGGGTCAGGGGGGCACCCGGCCCGAGTGGTGCTGGCTGCTTGGATCTCGCAGGCTCTTCTGGTGGAGGCACAACTGGTGGAGGCGCAGCTGGTGGAGGCGCAGCTGGTGGAGGCGCAGCTGGTGGAGGCGCAGCTGGTGGCGGTGCAGTTGATGGCGGTGCAGCTGATGGCGGTGCAGCTGATGGCGGTGCAGTTGATGGCGGTGCAGCTGATGGCGGTGCAGCTGATGGCGGTGCAGCTGATGGCGGTGCAGTTGATGGCGGTGCAGCTGATGGCGGTGCAGCTGATGGCGGTGCAGCTGATGGCGGTGCAGCTGATGGCGGTGCAGCTGATGGCGGTGCAGCTGATGGCGGTGCAGCTGATGGCGGTGCAGCTGATGGCGGTGCAGCTGATGGCGGTGCAGCTGATGGCGGTGCAGCTGATGGCGGTGCAGCTGATGGCGGTGCAGCTGATGGCGGTGCAGCTGATGGCGGTGCAGCTGATGGCGGTGCAGCTGATGGCGGTGCAGCTGATGGCGGTGCAGCTGATGGCGGTGCAGCTGATGGCGGTGCAGCTGATGGCGGTGCAGCTGATGGCGTTGCAGCTGATGGCGGTGCAGCTGATGGCGGTGCAGCTGATGGCGGTGCAGCTGATGGCGGTGCAGCTGATGGCGGTGCAGCTGATGGCGGTGCAGCTGATGGCGGTGCAGCTGATGGCGGTGCAGCTGATGGCGGTGCAGCTGATGGCGGTGCAGCTGATGGCGGTGCAGCTGATGGCGGTGCAGCTGATGGCGGTGCAGCTGATGGCGGTGCAGCTGATGGCGGTGCAGCTGATGGCGGTGCAGCTGATGGCGGTGCAGCTGATGGCGGTGCAGCTGATGGCGGTGCAGCTGATGGCGGTGCAGCTGATGGCGGTGCAGCTGATGGCGGTGCAGCTGATGGCGGTGCAGCTGATGGCGGTGGTGCTAATGGCTCTTTTTGCCCTCTTTTTGTCCTTCCCGCCCATCCCGTGCATCCCAGCATCACAACTCTAGGGTCAGGGGGGCACCCGGCCCGAGTGGTGGTGTCTGCTCTCGACCTCGCAGGCTCTTCTGGTGCAGGCACAACTGGGGGCGGCGCAGGTGCTGCAAGAAGGGGAGGAAATGGTGGTGCCGCTTCTGCTTTTGCCTCTGCTGCTGGTGCCATGAGTGGTGGTGGTGGCAGTGGCAGGAGGGGGAGCAGCAGGCAACGACTTGGTTGGCGGATGGAGAGGCAGTTTGTGTCGCATGGCAGCGTGTGGGCGTGTGAATGCTCATCGAGACAAGGGGAGATCGGAGTAGGTGAGTGGCAGTCAGTGGTTTCTGAGAATTCTGAAAAAGTGCCTTGGTTGGTGGTTGGCGGATGGAGAGGCAGTTTGTGTCGCATGGCAGTGTGTGGGCGTGTGAATGCTCGCTCAGACAGGGGAAGATCAGAGTGGGTGAGTGAGTGAGGAGGGGGGAAGGAGAGAGGAGGGAGGAGAGAGGAGAGGGGAGAAGGCAGACGGGAGAGGTTAGAGGAGAGAGGAGAGAGGGGAGAGGAGAGAGGAGAGAGGAGAGAGGGGAGAGTGGAGAGGACAGGGGAGCAGGCAGATGGGAGAGGGGAGAAGGGGGAGAGGATATAGGAGAGTGAAGAGACGAGAGGTTAGAGCGTTTGTGTCGTTCAGCAGTGCGTGGGCATGTGAATGCTCGGCAAGACGTTTGTGAATGCTGAGATCGGAGTGGGTGAGTGAGTGGCAGCCAGTCGTTTCTTAGGGTTCTGAGAATGTGCCTTGGTTGGCGGATGGAGGAGCGGGGAGGCAGCTTGTGCCGCTTGGCACGTGTGAGCGAGTGAATGCTCGCCTATACAGGGGGAGATTGGAGTGGGTGAGTGAGTGTGTCACTCAGGCACCTCAAAATAGATTAACCAATACAAGGGTCACTGGTCTGCCGTCAACTGCTACGTATCCATCCTTTTGATCTCGTCTGTTTAGTCCAATTACCCATCCGGTTCCCCATCCGGTTCCCCATCCGGTTCCCCATCCGGTTCCCCATCCGGTTCCCCATCCGGTTCCCCATGCGGTTCCCCATGCGGTTTCCCATGCGGTTCCCCATGCGGTTCCCCATCCGGTTCCCCATCCTGTTCCCCATCCGGTTCCCCATCCGGTTCCCCATCCGGTTCCCCATCCGGTTCCCCATCCTGTTCCCCATCCAGTTCCCCATCCGGTTCCCCATCCGGTTCCCCATCCGGTTCCCCATGCGGTTGGTCCGGTTCCCCTCCCCACCACTCCAGCTTGAGAAAGATGCATATGCCTCTGCAAACTTGATAAAGGTGATTGATTTTTATGTGTGTCTCCTGCCAGGCACCTCCCTGGGAGCGCAGCTGCTGCAAGTGGAGACGGGGCAACGGACGGCCCTGTGCCACAGCAACAGTGACGTGCTGGCATTGCAGGTCACAGGGGAGGTGAGACAGGGGGGAGGTGAGACAGGGGGGAAGTGCAATATGGGGGAGGTGGGATGTGCAGCTGCTGCAAGTGGAGACAGGGCAGCGGACGGCCCTGTGCCACAGCAACAGTGACTTGCTGGCGCTGCAGATCACAGGGGAGGTGAGACTCTGGGAAGGTGAGACTCTGGGGAGGTGAGACTCTGGGGAGGTGAGACTCTGGGGAGGTGAGACTCTGGGGAGGTGAGACTCTGGGGAGGTGAGACTCTGGGGAGGTGAGACACGGGGGAGGCGAGATGGGGGGGAGGTGAGACCCTGGAAACTCCTCTTCTCCCACACCACCCCACACCCCCCCATCGCCCACCCCCCCCCGCCCCTCCCCCCTCCTTCCCCCCTGCCCCCTGTTCGACCCCAGGGCAGCATCTATCTGGTTGGCTTCTGCAACGGCGCCATTGCCACCATCGACACCCGTGCTCCCCTCCCCACCTCGTGCAAGCAGCAGCACCCTCCGCAAGGCAAACACCAATAGCATGTCCACTTTCCCAACCTGCCCCTCCCCCCTGCCCCTCCCCCCTGCCCCTCCCCCCTGCCCCTGTTGCACCCCAGGGCAGTGTCTACCTGGCTGGCTTCCGCAACGGCGCCATTGCCAACATTGACACCAACGATTCTCTATGCAATTCTCATCCTCTCAATCCCCCATCCCTCTCCCCCCTTTCTCCCTGTCCCCAACACCGTGTTACCCCAGGGCAGTGTCTGCTTGGCTGGCTTCCGCAACGGCGCCATCGCCACCATCGACACGCGTGCTCCCCTGCCCACCTCGTGCTCGCAGCAACCACCGCCGCCGCTCTCACACCCGCGTCTCTCACACTCACGGGTCTCGCACTTGCCACACTCCCAACGGCCGCTCTCACACTCCTTCTCGCAGCCAGCTCATGGCCTGGCAGGAAGAGGGGGGCAGGGCGGTGCCAGGAGGGGCAAGAAGGGGGGAGGGGAGTGGAGGAAGCAGGGAGGAGGGGAGTGGGGCAAGAAGGGTGCAGCAGGGGAGGTGAATGAGTATTACTGCAGCCACCAGCGAGTCATGCGCATGCCCTCTGCTGTCTCTGGGTATGTGCACCCCCGTTTGCCATCATGTGTATGTACAAATGCCCACTGCCCTCTCAAGATTTGGCACACCCTTGCTGTCCCCGTGCCCTCTGCTGTTGCTGGTATGTCTGCCCTCTGCGTGCCCTCTAACGATGTGGGCATGCCCTTCATGCAGCATCCATGGTGTGACTTTGTGTTCCTTCTCTCCTTGTTTTTTTTTCAATATATTGGCCTTTGAGGCTACTCAGAATTCACCTGAGTCGTTACAAGCCATGGGGTTGCCCTTCATGCAGCATGCGTATTGTGACACTGTGTGCGTTCATGAGTGGTGCCCCCCCTGTTTCCCTCCTGTATTCCTGTGCATGCCTGGTGCATGTAATATGGCACATTGCATTGCATGCCTGTGCATGCTTAATTGCAGCATGCAGATAATGAAGCGGAGTGACTTCTACCTCTTTGCATCCTCATTTGATGGATCCGTGAGTCCCCACCTCTTCCACCACTCCTCCGAGCAACATCAAATACACACCATTTCCTGCCAGTGTTTTCACCTTTTGCTCAATAATAAAACCGACGCCTGCCGTTGGTCGATGCTTGCCTGCACCGACATCTGCTGTTGGTCAATGTGTCCAAAGCACTTCCCACCACCTGCTATGGTTCACTTGTTGTCTGCCCGTTTCTGCCCTTTGTCCATGAGGCCATCACACCATCACCTGTGTCACGCAGTAAGGGGGCCATACTTTTTTTTTCTCTCTCGAACGGTCCTTCGTATTAATATCATCAAGGTACAGGTGATCCTTCAACAGAGCCTTTGACTCAAGCCTTGTCTCAGAACTTGTCCTTCCCCCCCATGTCATGCCCCATGGCAGTTGTTCCAATGGGACCTCCGCTCCACAGCATCACCTCTGCGCCAGTTGCAGGGGCACGTCAACTCGCATCTTCGCCTGCCATTGCTGCTCGATCCTTCGGAGAACTTCCTCTGCGCACGTAGGGCTGAAAGTGAAAATGTTTGTGAAATTCGTCCATTTTGATTTGACCATTTTGTTGTGCCATTAAAAAATGTTCTGATTGATGTGCCTTTCTGGCCGTTTTGCAGCTGGAAATGACTCCATCGTTCGCATCTGGAGTGTATCAACAGGTGCACTGCTGTCAGCCGCTCGCCTTTCTGATAACGCAACCGCTGCGGCCTGGCCAAGCACTTATGGTATGTGGATTCACACCTTAGATGTGTTCAAAGCCTGCTCTCATCCTTTTCACACACATTTTCTCAACTTACAACGGTCTTATTCTCATTTGCAGGTCTGGATAATGGAATGTGTGATTTGGCAGATGGTGTTTTCCTCGGTACATACGAGTCTTTGTGCTTTTTGGACCTTTCAGTGTAGTCCAAGGGTTATTAACAAAATGTGTCCCTGATAAAGTTCCCCATCATAATCGGAACCCACCTCGCAGCGAGGATACCCGTCGCAAAGGGACAACCCTCCAGCATTCCGCCACGTGGCATAGGCTTCGGCCACTCATCTCGCCCAGCCTGGAAAGCTGCGTCAACGCATTCCAACCGCATGCGGCATTCCCTGGACCCCATCCAGCCCAATCCCCTCTTGCGAAAACCGCAATTGCTCCGCTGCTGACAATTCTCCCCCCAACGCCAGTGCTCCCCCGATCGCGCCAGTCACGTCATCAAGTGGTTGTGATCGCCGCTGACGTGATACGCTTGGGAGGACATCGAAGTTTGTAACCAGGCTCTCGGCGAAGATGGGTGGCAGGTGTTTCAGAAAGTAAAATCTCGTTACTGTGCGATACTCCTTGGTGAATCCTAGTCTACTTTCTAGTCCTCCGTGCCAATGCTCACTAGAGGATTTATGGCTAACTAAACTACTCGTCAGACTACTACTGTAACTAACTAATAGTTTCGTTATACGTGGTGTCTGGACCTCACGTACGCTCACAGCCGTAGCGGACCGCGGCTCGGGGCGAAGCTTGTGGTAAGTGAGGCATCTATAGCGAAGTAGCCTATTGCTGGGGAGCCGCGCATCGTTCCGTTCGCTTTGGAAACTTGTTTTGCCAGGCGACGGACTGCTCACTGGGGTGGCGTTGTGCAGTAGCTGGTGGTGGCGGAGCAGTCATTTTGAGACGTCTCTAAAACGCTCTTCTATCACGTGACTGTTTATTGGTGTAGCGTTGTGCAGTGGCTGGTGACGGATCAGTTGCAGCTGCGCATTGCCAGCTTTCGCTTTCACTCGCTCCTAGTAATTATGCGTCTGGGAAGCTGAGGAACAGAATTCTCTCGCTGCTGTGCAGACAATACTACCGGGTAGTTTCGTATCCGCATTTCGTTTTCTTCGCAAAACCTTCTCTGGTCGCCTGAGCAGCCATGGCACTCGCGGCTTTTCACCACTCGGCTTCGTTGCGTGCAGTCCGTCTCTCTCCATCTTCCTCTTCCGAACGCCACGTCAGCGGAAGCTCTCCGTTAGAATCACAACTATCGCTTCTATCTGGAACCGCATCTCAGCAGCAGTCTCTCAGCTCTCGCTCTCTCGTCGTTCTCAAGCTCGCATGGCAACAGCAGCAGCAACGGCAGAGGTTTCTCGGTTCGTCGACCGAAACAGCGGCTGCGAGGGCGACGACGGTGACGGCGACTTTGGCGTCGGAGAGTGAGGCGGCGAAGGCGGGTGCGACGCCTGCGACTTCAGGAGAATCGAGGCTTGCGAAGGTAACATTCCAAGCTTCATTTTGCGAAGAAAGTGGAATAGTTTCAAGCGAGGGAGATTTGTCGTGAACGAAGGCGGAAAAGAAGTTAAGAGTAACCAATGTGGGGAATTTGTGGCCACCTACTGTATCGCCGTACAGCAACGAATGGTCGAAACGTGTCACCAGTCTTACACTTCAACAACCGGTGGTTTCTGAGAAATAATAAAAACCTGCTCGGAATATAAACCCCGTCGTCCATTTTAACAACGGCATTTTGGTGACGATTTCACTTCAAGCGACCTCTCGTTGCCTCTCCCCTCTCCCCGTTCCCCGGAAACCCCCCAGGTGCCCATCGAGCGCATCCGCAACTTCAGCATCATCGCGCACATCGACCACGGCAAGTCTACCCTGGCGGACAAGCTGCTCGAGACCTCAATTCCTTTCATCCCCCCCTCCCCCCCTTCCCCCTCTACACGCAAAATCTCCCACCCCCTTTCCCCTTTCCCCGCTTCTCCCCAGGTGCCCATCGAGCGGATCCGCAACTTCAGCATCATCGCGCACATTGACCACGGCAAGTCGACCCTACCTGACAAACTGCTGGAGACGTCAATCCTCCTTCCACCTCTACCCGCAAAAGTTCCCAACCCGTTTTCCCTTTCCCCGCTTCCCCCCAGGTGCCCATCGAGCGAATCCGCAACTTCAGCATCATCGCGCACATCGACCACGGCAAGTCGACCCTGGCGGACAAGCTGCTCGAGACGACGGGCACGGTGCAGGCGAGGGAAATGAAGGAGCAGTTCCTCGATAACATGGAGCTGGAGAGGGAGCGAGGGATCACAATCAAGTTGCAGGTATTGACATAAAGGTTGCAGTTAGGGTTATGAATACGCCCTGGGAAGGGTGCAGGCGCGCGAGATGAAGGAGCAGTTTCTGGATAGCATGGAGCTGGAAAGGGAGCGAGGGATCACCATCAAGCTACAGGTGGGGTTATTGCTGAGTTGAATATGCAGGTGGTGATGTGACCATGTAGGCGAGGGAGATGAAGGAACAATTTCTCGATAACTTGGAGCTGGAGAAGGAGCGAGGGGTCACCATTAAGTTATAGGTAACGTAAAGGTTGCACTTAGGGTTATGGATACATTCTACATACACACCCTACCCCGGGCCTGGTGCAGGCGAGGGAAATGAAAGAAGCAGCTTCTGGATAACATTGAGCTGGAGAAGATGGAAAGAAGGATCAGCAACTTTTCTCTTTGTTTGTTTACAACGCAATGCCACTGCCACTATTGCTGTCGCTCTTGCATAGCTTGTTATTCCGACGATCCCCATCATCCCAGCCCATGACAAAGAAAGAAGCGATGATGCTGCAATAAGGCCGAAATGACAGCTGCCAGGTGGGAGGCAGTGACTGGCCCGTTGACTTTGACTTGGCCAACGGTCGAGTCCCTGCCTTGTGTTGCCGTGGCTGCCAGCGTGACATGTGCACACAGCGAGCAAAGGTTGATCCTGTTTTCTCTGAGCTTCTGAGTGGAAGAGTGGGAGGGAGATGATGGGGAGGGGAAACAAATGCTTGCAGAGCAAGCGCTGTTTTATTGCCTTGCTTTGCCTTGGCTGCCAGCGTGATATGTGCACACAGCGAGCAAAGGTTGATCCTGTTTTCTCTGAGCTTCTGAGTGGAAGACCGGGAGGGGAGGGGAACGGTTTGCAGAATGGTTGTTGTGAGACGGTGTGGGTTGTGGTGAATGAGATGGTGGCGCGGGGTGGTGGTTGCAATGATCGAAAAGAGGAAGGACATGAATTGCTGCCACCTGCCCCTGCCTGCTGCGCCCTCTCTCTCTCCTCTGGAGAAGGAGGGGGTCGCATGTAGGGGCGGGGCGAGGCGAGCAGAGAGTATGACGTCCGTTACACTTGATATGAGCAACCGACTGTATGATTTTCATGACGACAACAAGATTAAGTTTTGATATGAAACAACCATTCGAGTCCTGGCCGTGGGTGGAACATTCACTCGTGGGTTGGGGTGTTTCTGTTGCTGGTAATTTACCGACACGAGACAGACAGCCTCCCAAATCCTGAGCGTGGAGGATTCTATATTGGGTTGGGATGTTTCTGTTGTTAGTAATTTACCGGCTGTGGTCACGCTAAGAGTCTCTGGAAGAAGCTATGATGATGACTGGAATGATTATGAGTTCTGGAGTTTCCTTTCTCCTTAACTCCCTCCACTCACCCACCCACCCACCACCAGTCAGCCCTCCCCTGTCCCACCTTTTCCTCGCTCCTCTCTCTCTCCTCCCTCCAACCACCCCACCCCACGTCTGCACCACCTCCCTTCTCTCTGCTCGTCTAATCCACCTCTGCTGGCAGTATGACAGACACTTAGCCAAATCCGAAGGCCTTCCTGCTCCTCTCCTCCCAGCCCTCCCTTCTCCCCCTCTCCCTCTTTGCCCAAACCCAGAATCTCCGTCTTTTGCAAGAGTGTAAAAGAGGGAGGTTCAAGGGGAGGGTTGAGAAGGGGAGGGGTGGGCGGGGTTTGAGAGGGATGGAGATGGTTGCAGGGAGGCCTGATGACGCGAAAATGGTTGTCCGAGAACAAAGGTGTATGGAAGCCTGCTATTTGCCGCTGGTGGATTGTGAGCAAGAGCGGGAGTGGATGGGGCAACGTGAGGGGGTGCATTGGGCGTGGGGGAAGAGTGTCGTATGGTGGGGAGGGGTTGACGGGGTTGCGTGCTCTGTGTGTGTGTGTGCAGTGGGGTGGGGGGCTTGCTTGGGGCTTGCTTGCTTGCAAGCTTCCTCAAGAGAGCTGAGGGTGCTGCTGCTGACTGACTGACTGCACAGTCGGCAGATGATGAAGAATGTATAAATCCTCTGAGCTTCTTCCTTGAATGCTTCTGTGCGTGTCAGTGGCCGTCTGTGCCCGTTTGTGGTTGCCAGTTGGTGCATGTTTCCTTTCCTCTGGATTCCCTTGTTCTGGTGTGTCACCCACGCGCCGTTCCCCCTGTTCTCACTACCTCGATTGAAGCGGGCGCGTTTGGTTGGTGTGGAATGGGATTTTCTGATTCCATCGGATCGGGGTAATCATGTGGGCTGAGTGCTGAGTTGAGCCATTGCGAGAAATGAAGGGCTGAGTTGAGCTACAGGGGACTGCTGCCTGTGGAGATTTCTCAACACACATGGCCCAGCCTGGCCATTTAGCCTTCACCTGTGAGGAGAGGATGCTCTCTACTCTCATTCATACCACTCCCTCCCTCGGCCTCCTTGTCTGCCCCAACCCACCCCCCACCCCGCCATCCCCTCTTCAGGCAGTGCACTCCTTGTCTGCCCTAACCCCACTTGTGTGCCTCACCCCACCCCACCCCACCGCCAGGCAGCGCGCATGAGGCATGTGTCAAGGGTGGACGGCAAGGCGTACTGTCTGAACCTCATTGACACGCCCGGCCACGTGGACTTCAGCTGCCTATGAGGTGTCGCTTCCTTCCTTCATGCCCCTCCCTTGCCCACATTTGCATGCTCTGTTCCCGTTCCTATTCCCCACCCCACCCCACCCCACCGCCAGGCAGCGCGCATGAGGCATGTGTCAAGGGTGGACGGCAAGGCGTACTGTCTGAACCTCATTGACACGCCCGGCCACGTGGACTTCAGCTGCCTATGAGGTGTCGCTTCCTTCCTTCATGCCCCTCCCTTGCCCACATTTGCATGCTCTGTTCCCGTTCCTATTCCCCACCCCACCCCACCCCACCCCCAGGCAGCGCGCATGCGGCATGTGTCAAGGGTGGACGGCAAGGCGTACTGTCTGAACCTCATTGACACGCCCGGCCACGTGGACTTCAGCTACGAGGTGTCCCGCTCGCTGGCTGCCTGCGAGGGCGCGCTGCTGGTGGTGGACGCGTCTCAGGGCGTGGAGGCACAGACACTAGCTAACGTTTACCTGGCGATAGAGGGCAACCTCGAGATCATTCCGGTGAGTTTTGTCGAGTCAGTCTCAGATCTGCTGTTTGGTTTGGGTCACACTGGCTCGCTGGCTGCCTGTGAGGGCGCGCTGCTGGTGGTGGACGCGTCTCAGGGCGTGGAGGGACAGACATTAGCAAACGCCTTTTCTTGCTATCCAAGGGAATGTGGAGTGGAGCTCATGCAGGTGAGTTTTTGAGAATTCTCAAAAACTCCCTGCAGGGCGTGGAGGGACAGAAATTAGCAAACGCCTTATCTCGCTATCCAGGGAATGTGGAGTGGAGCTCATGCTGGTGAGTTTGAGCTTGTGATGTGATGTGTGGCTCGGGTGCTGTCTGAGTCAGGCCTGGGCGCCTGGGGCAGCTTGCTGACTCGCTGCCTGCATGATGTGAGGGCGCGCTGCTGTTTGTGGACGCATCTCAAGGCGTGGAGGCGTGAGGGTTGCTGCATGAGGGTCTTGGGGTTCAGGGTTCACCAGGGTTTAAGTATGGTGGTGGTATGACTGAAGGCACTGGCACGGACGACTTGTTGGAGAGTCCATCCGTGCTCTTCAGCAGGTGCTCTTCACCGACCTTTTCCCCCCCCTCTTGCCCAGGTGCTCAACAAAATCGACCTCCCAGGAGCCGATCCAGAGAGGGTGCGAGCGGAGGTGGAGGAGGTAGTGGGGCTGACTGGGCACGCCAGACGCCATCCCGTGCTGCTCTGAGTGCATCCCTGCCTCTCAACCGTCTGTCACAGCCTTCTTGTCGGACCCTCCCCTCCCTGTCTGGTCTACTTCTTCTGGTGCACTGCACCCCAGGTGCTCAATAAGATCGACCTGCCAGGAGCCGATCCAGAGAGGGTACGCGCGGAGGTGGAGGAGTTGGTGGGGCTCGATGCATCAGACGCCATCCTGTGCTCCGCCAAGGAGGGCATCCGTGCTCTTAAAAGGACTGCCACATGCCACTACTCACTTACCAATGCCCTCCTTCCTCATTTGCCCAGGTGCTGAACAAAATTGATCTCCCGGGAGCCGATCCAGAAAGAGTGAGAGCAGAGGTGGAGGAGGTGGTGGGGTTAGACGCATCAGACGCCATCCTGTGCTCCGCCAAGGAGGGCGTGGGCATTCAGAACATTCTGGAAGCCATCATTGCCAAAGTGCCGCCCCCTGCTCCCACCAGAGACCAGCCGCTGCGCTGCCTCATCTTCGACAGGTAGGAGGGAAGTGGGAGTGGTTGGGACGGGAGGGATGAGAGGGGTTGGGAGGGGTTGGGTTGGGTGTGTGATGTATTCCTGTTCAAGTCAAGGCACTGCCGCAGTGGTTACGTGGTCTCTGTAACGCTCGGTGTGATAGTGTATTTCCGCATGGTGGACAGCGGGGAGGTGTGTTGTGCTGGGGGCACGTGTGCGGTTTATGATGAGAGAGACAGATGGGTATATGCACGCTCACTGCTTGCCGTCCCTCCTCTGTTTGAAGAAGTGTTTTGAGACGTCTCAAAACACTTCTTCAAACATGGTGTGTTGGGGGCACGTGTGCGGTTTATTATGGTGAGTACATGCACGCTCACTGCTTGCCGTCCCTCCTCTCACTCCCTCTTTCCCCGTTCCTTCATTGCCCCTCCACCAGCTATTATGACCCGTACCGGGGTGTGATAGTGTATTTCTGTGTGGTGGACGGGGAGGTGCGCAAGGGCGACAGCGTGCGCTTCATGGCGAGTGAATGCCTCACCGCCTGCTCTCCGCTCGTTTCCGCTTCCCCTGACAACTTTCCCGCAGCTACTACGACCCATATCGAGGCGTCATTGTCTACTTCAGGGTGGTGGACGGCGAGGTGCGCAAGGGCGACAGCGTGCGCTTCATGGCGAGTGAATGCCTCACCGCCTGCTCTCCGCTCGTTTCCGCTTCCCCTGACAACTTTCCCGCAGCTACTACGACCCATATCGAGGCGTCATTGTCTACTTCAGGGTGGTGGACGGCGAGGTGCGCAAGGGCGACAGCGTGCGCTTCATGGCGAGTGAATGCCTAACCGCCTGCTCTCCGCTCGTTTCCGCTTCCCCTGACAACTTTCCCGCAGCTACTACGACCCATATCGAGGCGTCATTGTCTACTTCAGGGTGGTGGACGGCGAGGTGCGCAAGGGCGACAGCGTGCGCTTCATGGCGAGTGGCAAGCAGTACGAGGTGGACGAGCTGGGCGTGCTCTCGCCCACGCAGATGCCTGTTGACTGCCTCTATGCGGGCGAGGTGGGTGGACTTAGCGTGTCTAGCTCAACTCCTCCTTCTCCAGAAGTGTCTCTGCTGTGGCGCTGGCCAAGCAGTACGAGCTGGGGGTGCTCTCGCCCACTCAAATGCCCGTTGACTGCCTGTATGCGGGCGAGGTGAGGCTATGTGCTGTGATGATGGTGAGGTGAGCATGAGGAGGGGTGTGTGCGCGCTGTAAGCATGGTGAGCTAGGGGTGGATGGTGAGTGGCAAGCAGTACGAGGTGGACGAGCTGGGCGTGCTCTCGCCCACTCAAATGTCCGTGGATTGCCTCTATGCTGGCGAGGTGAGAGAGATTGATCTAGCCTCCTGCTGAGAGCATGATAGGGTGAGGGGAGGAGTGGGTTGACGAGTGGCAAGCAGTACGAGGTGGACGAGCTGGGCGTGCTCTCGCCCACTCAGATGCCCGTCGACTGCTTGTATGCTGGCGAGGTGGGTGGGCTGACTAGCAGTGTGTCTGTGCTGTGATGTGGTGAGCATGGGGAGGGATGGAAGGTTGTGAGCAAGCAGTACGAGGTGGACGAGCTGGGGGTGCTCTCGCACACTCAGATACCCGTCGACTGCCTCTGTGCCGCCAAAGAGTCGCTGTCCGGGTTCAGGGAGGCGGGGCCGATTGTGTTCTGCGGGCCAGGCGTTGCTCTCTTTAAGCCAACCAGTGAGGGTTGCCTTTCCCCTCTTCCCACCCGCTAAAGAGTCACTGCTCGCGTACAGGGAGGCGGTGCCGATGGTGTTCTGCGGGTTAAGCATTGCTCTCTCTAACCCACCTCGTGAGGCTTTCTGCTCTTTCCGCCCCTCTCCCCACCCCTATCCCTTCTCTGCCCCGAACAGGTGGGGTATCTGGCAGCGTCTATTCGTCAAGTGGCAGACGCGAGGGTGGGGGACACCAAACACATGCAGGGGGAGCGGGCAAGGGTGGCCCACCCGCCAAGGAGTCCCTGCCCGGGTACAGGGAGGCGGTGCCGATGGTGTTCTGCCGCTTGTTCTGTCACCCATCCCTCATCAACCACCCACCCTGCGCCCCTCTGTTCTGTCTCTGGTCTGGATCCTCACCTGTGGATCCTCTCCCTACAGGTGGGGTATCTCGCAGCATCCATCCGTCAAGTGGCAGATGCGAGGGTGGGAGACACAATCACCCACGCAGGGGGAGCGGGCAAGGGCGGCCCACCCGCCAAGGAGTCCCTGCCCGGGTACAGGGAGGCGGTGCCAATGGTGTTCTGCGGGCCGAGAGGTGCTCTCTCTAACCCAAGTACTGAGGCTTGCCGCTCTTCTTCTCCCTCTTCCCTCCCTCCTCCACTCCTCCCGTTTGGCCACAGGTGGGGTATCTAGCAGCATCTATCCGTCAAGTGGCAGACGCGAGGGTGGGAGACACAATCACCCACGCAGGAGGAGCGGGCAAGGGCGGTCCACCCGCCAAGGAGTCCCTCCCCGGGTACAGGGAGGCGGTGCCGATGGTGTTCTGCGGGCTCTTCCCCATCGACGCCGATCAGTTCCCCTCCTTGAGAGAAGCCCTTGAGAAATTGCAGCTCAACGATGCTGCTCTGCAGGTAGGAAGCAAAGGGGCGGAGGGGGGGGGGGGGGCGGGGTTGGGTTGCATGTGGGGAGGAGGGAGGCGGTGCCGATGGTGTTCTGCGGGCTCTTCCCCATCGACGCTGATCAGTTCCCCTCCTTGAGAGAAGCCCTTGAGAAGCTGCAGCTGAATGACGCCGCCCTGCAGGTAGGAATAGTGCGTGTGTTGAGGCATGCAATGCAGTAGATAGTGGGTTGTTGCCGGTGCCGATGGTGTTCTGCGGGCTCTTCCCCATCGATGCCAACCAGTTCCCCTCTTTGAGAGAGGCTCTGGAGAAGCTGCAGTTGAATGATGCTGCACTGCAGGTAGGAAGAGGAAGAGGAGGGGGAGGGGTTTCATGTGGGGGAGGAGGGAGGCGGTGCCGATGGTGTTCTGCGGGCTCTTCCCCATCGACGCCGACCAGTTCCCCTCCCTGAGAGAAAGCCCTTGAGAAGCTGCAGCTCAACGATCCGCTCTTCTCTTTCAACTTCTTCTCCACTGTGACTCAACCGTCCCCCATCGCCTGCCGTCCCCCCTCTCTCTCTCTCGTCCCGCCAGTTTGAGCCGGAGAGCAGCAGTGCCATGGGCTTTGGCTTCCGCTGTGGCTTCCTGGGCCTACTGCACATGGACGTGGTGCAGGTGAGGGGAGGAGAGAGGGACGTGGTGCAGGTGAGGGGAGGAGAGAGGGACGTGGTGCAGGTGAGGGGAGGAGAGAGGGACGTGGTGCAGGTGAGGGGAGAGAGGCTATGCGGCATGTGGCTTGAAGGCATGGTGCAGTGCAGGTGAGGGGAGTGCTGGTCTGCTGCACATGGACGTGGTGCAGGTGAGCTGCACATGGACGTGGTGCAGGTGAGCTGCACATGGACGTGGTGCAGGTGAGCTGCACATGGACATGGTGCAGGTGAGCTGCACATGGACGTGGTGCAGGTGAGAGAGAGCAGTGCTGGTGGCATGAACATGTTATATGGACGTGGTGCAGGTGAGGGCAGGTGGCAAATGATTAGTCAAACACTCACACTCTCCCTCCTCTCTTCTTCCCCCACAGGAGCGGCTAGAGCGAGAGTATGACTTGGATCTGATCACAACAGCCCCCAGTGTGGTGTACCGCGTGGTGAAGCGGGAGGAGGGGTGCCTTATGAGTCACGCACTCACATTCCCCCCCCCTCACTCCCTTTTCTCCCGTACAGGAGCGGCTAGAGCGAGAGTATGGGTTGGATCTGATCACAACAGCGCCCAGTGTGGTGTACCGCGTGGTGAAGCGGGACGGGTCAGTGGTGGAGTGTTCCAACCCCGCTGACATGCCCGACGCCTCTGTGCGGAGCGAGATTCAGGAGCCCTACGTGCGGGTGAGTGCAGCCCTACCTGCATGTAATTCGACTCCTCTTCTGGGGTCTCGTAGCTTAGTGCTGAAGCGGGACGGGTCGGTGGTCGAGTGCTCCACCTCGCTGACATGCCTGACGCCTCCGTGCGCTCTGAGATCCAGGAGCCCTATGTGCGGGTGAGTGCAGGCCTACCTGCGTGTGTGTGTTGACTTTTTCTAGAGGGTTCACCACGCCTGTTCCTGTTGACTGCTGAAGCGGGACAGGTCGGTGGTGGAGTGCTCCAACCCTGCTGACATGCCTGACGCCTCCGTGCGGAGCGAGATCCAGGAGCCCTACGTGCGGGTGAGCGTGATGGGGGGTGTTGTAGGTTTCCAGGTGGGTGGTGCACTGGCGCATCTGGTACCTATCAATAACTTTGTTCCACACAACCACCACCATGCACCACCATGCACCACCATGCACCACCATGCACCGCCCATTCACCACCCACCATGCAACATGCACCACCCACCATGCAGCAAGTACCACTCACCTCCCAGCCAGGCTTTTTGACCCCAAAGAATGCATCGGTACGCTCATGGGCCTGGCACAGGACAGGCGAAGCTGCCTCCTTTCATGCCTGTGTGTGTCGTCTTCGCCACCTTTCCCTCCCCATCAGCTGGACATTTTGATCCCCAAGGAGTACATTGGCACGCTCTGGACCTGGCACAGGACAGGTGGGGCGAGTGGGGGCATGCGTGCTCCCCTCCATGCCCGCACCCCATAGCCCTCATATTCCACCCACCACCACGATCCTTCCCCCACCAGCTGGACATCCTGACCATCAAGGAGTATATCGGCACAATTACGGACCTGACGCAGGGCAGGTAGGGGGAGTGAAGCCATGCATGCCCCTCCTCGCTCCCTCTTATCTGCTGCTAACACCCCCACCCCCTCCCCCCACACACCCCCCCCACCCCCACCACCCCACCCCCACCACCACCCCTCGCTAGCTGGACATGCTGACTCCCAAGGACTACATCGGCACGCTCATGGACCTGGCACAGGAGAGAGAGACGGGATGAATGAAGCCATGTGTGCCCGTCGTCCCTCCCTTGTATCCTGTGCTTCCCCTCCCCCATCAGCTGGACATCCTGACTCCCAAGGACTACATTGGCACGCTCATGGACCTGGCACAGGACAGGCAAAGCTTTTATTTCTTCATTCATGCGCCCTCCCTCCACTCATCCATCTTCTTCGCCTCCTTTCCTTCCTCACCAGCTGGACATCCTGACCCCCAAGGACTACATTGGCACGCTCATGGATCTGGCACAGGAAAGGCGGGGCGAGTTCGTGGAGATGAAGTATGTCACTGAGTCGCGCACCACTCTGTCCTATGACACTCCTCTGGGCGAGGTATGCAGAGGGGCCGTGGGGGACTGGTGGAGTGGAGAGTAGGGGACACTATTGAGGGGCCACTACGGGGTGCTTGGGCAGTAGTGTTGGAAGTGGAGGAAGGAGAGGCGGGGCGAGTTTGTGGAGATGAAGTGTGTGACTGAGTCCCGCACCACTCTGTCCTATGACACCCTGCTGGGCGAGGTAGATGCACTAGAAAACGGGGGATGGGGGGAAACTAGGGGTGCGGAGGGGGAGTGGATGAATGAATGGTGGGGCGAGTTCGTGGAGATGAAGTATGTGACCGAGTCCCGCACCACCACACTGTCCTATGACACCCCTCTGGGCGAGGTATGCAAGAGAGGCAGTGTAGGAGAAGGGGCTGCAGTAGCAAGCTGGGATGGGAAGGGCTGCTGGGGAAGGGCTGCTGGGGAAGGGGCTAACGTGAATTTTACTTTTGAGAATTCTCAAAAGTAAAATACACAGGGCTGCTGGGGAAGGGCTGCTGGGGAAGGGGCTAATCCAATCCAATCCCGTTGCCTTACCCCCATATCTCCCCCCCCCCCCCCTGGTGTTTGCTGCCTCAATGCTGCGTCCTGGCAGGTGGTGGGGGATTTCTTTGACCAGCTCAAGTCGCGCACCAAGGGCTACGCCAGCATGGAGTACAAAGTCATCGGGTATGCTCCTTGTACTTGATCGTCGGTTGGATATGCTAATATGCAGTACAAAGTCATCGGGTATGCTGCTTTTACTTGGTCGGTTGGATATGCTAGATGGAGTACAAAGTCACGGACCAAGGGATACGCCAGCATGGAGTATAAGTTATCGGGTATGCTCCTTGTACTTGGTCGGTTCGATATGCTAATATGGAGTACAAAGCTGCACCAGGTGATACGCAGAGTATAAAGTCATCAGGTATGCTGCTTGTACTGAGTTGGATGGACACGCTAATATTGAGTACAATGTTTGTGGGTTGCTCCTTATTCCCTGTCGTCTGGGTATGTGCTTCAGACTTCTTGAGATTCGCACCAAGGGCTATGCTTATAAGGAGGACAAAGTCAAGGTGACGGGATAGGTTCCTTGCCCACAGTCCAACCCACCTGGCCCAACCCCACCCCATCCCAACCCACTGCACCCCACTCCACCGCACTTCCTCTCTCAGGTACCACAGAGGCAACCTGGTGAAGATGGACATTCATGTTACAGCTCCTACCTATCCCGCCCGCCCCACCCCTCCCCACCCTGCCCCACCCCATCCCATCCCATCCCATCCCACCCCATCCCACCCCACCCCACCCCCCCACCCCACCTCACTCCGCCGCATGGCTACAGGTACCGCAAGAGCAACCTAGTGAAGATGGACATTCAGCTCAATGGGGAAATTGTGGAGCCGCTGTCAGCCATCGTACACCAGGAAAAGGTGGGTGAGAGGGTGAAATACACTCTGCTGGCCATTGTGCACCAGGAAAAGGTGGGTGAGGATGAATCACCCTCTGTCTGTCAGCCATCGTGCACCAGGAAATGGTGGGTGAGAGGGTTAAGTACACACTGTTAGCGATTGTGCACTAGGAAACGGGGGTTGAGAGGGTAAAAACACATGCTCTTGGCCATTGTGCGCTGGTTGAGTCGGTTGACTGCGCATCAGGATACTTAGTTTTTCTATCTATTTTCCTTTCTACTGCTTGCTGCAGAGTTAAACCCTCTAAGCATGTTACTTATTTTTTGGATTCTCAAAAGCGACTCTAACCATGTTACGTTCCCCCAACCAGGCGTACGGAGTGGGCAGAGTGCTCACACAGAAGCTCAAGAAGCTCAATCTTTTGAGTCGTCTCAAATGTTGTAACCATGTCACATTCCCCCTGACCAGGCGTACGGAGTGGGCAGAGCACTCACACAGAAGCTCAAGGAGCTCATTCCCCGACAGATGTTCAAAATCCCCATCCAGGTGCGCTCAGTGTTCAAAATCCCCATCCAGGTGCGTTCAGTGTTCACTGCTCGTGCAACCCATGTTTCATAATGTATTTGCTCTGTCCTCATAGCCTCTCAAGTTGATGTCCCCTTGTCTCTGCACTGTCCCCATGACATATCTCGTGCTACGTCCGTTCCTCGGGCATCCTTCCATGTCAGAATCTCTACTTGTATGCGCATTGATTGTGAAGTGTGTGAGCCGTACTGCACAACTGGCTTCCTCCTGACCTTGTATTACCGCTATTTTTTATCGACCAGGCGTGTGTTGGAACCAAGGTCATTGCGAGTGAAACAATTGCAGCCATTCGGAAAGACGTTCTAGCCAAGTGCTATGGTGAGTGCATTGATGTTCCCATGCATGTCTGTTGAATCTATATATTGCGAGAAATAAATTGGGCATGATGGGATGGTCTGTTGGTTGCAGGTGGCGACATTTCACGAAAGAAGAAATTGCTGAAGAAGCAAGCAGCAGGGAAGAAGAGAATGAAAGCGCTTGGACGAGTTGACGTGCCCCAAGATGCCTTCATGGCTGTGCTTAGACTTGAGAAGGAAAGCTTGTGATAAGACACCATGGAAAATATGTTATTATTCAAGCAGCATCCTGATAGCTCGATTCTGGTTTATGAGATTCGGGGCCTATTGATTGAGCTCACAAGTATGGTTATATTGAAGAGTATGGTTTCACGTTTGTACACTATGTTGAAGATGTCATTTCTACCTTCTCAAAAGTTCTAGGTCAGTCGCTTATCGAAGGTTTACATTGGCAACACGCCAACCCTATATCGGCGACACGGCGAGGTTCGTAGGATTAGTGATGGCTCGGCTAAACCCACCTTCCAGGTATCAATTCCGTTGGCTCCGACATGGCGGGCAGGCCTCCCGCGCAGTTCTGAACCGAACCATAGCTGGCTGCTGGCTTGGGTTCGCAACGCTGTCCGATCTGATGTGGTTCGGTCTGGCTTGTATGGGTGTCGGTGATGTCCGTTCGCACCGAACCGAACGACGATGCGACAAACGCCTTTTAGTACTACCGTAACGCATGTAACCGTACTGAAAATCTCTCTCCCCCTATATTCACCGAAACGCTGCCTGAAAGCGCATGTCCTTCGAACTGTCTTCTCCACTGGATTCTAGGCTCTAGTGTATTCTAAGGTGTGTATTCTACTTTTGTCGCCATGAGTGTGGCTGTTGGTTGTCTCGACTCTCAATGACAGGTTATGGGTGAGACCCTGTTGCAAGCACCGATTTGTACCAATTCTGCTATGTTGATAGTGACGCGCTTCGATACGGCAGAGACAGTTTATGATATGGAAAAAATATATGGAATCTGCGAAAGAACAGGACGGTCCGTTTGGTAGCGCGTTGTATTCTACTTTATTCCCCTCTTGCTGGGACAAAGCTCACCATTGCCGTCCGCGCTGTTGTTTCTTCCTCTGCCGAGGTGCCTAAACCCCAAGAGCCTTTTCTTTTTCCTTTGAATCTTTCTAAACTTTGAGAAATTTCAATGTGTGACTGCGCGTAAACTGTTGAACAGAATTTTTGAGATTAGGAGCAAACCTGGGTCGAAGCAGTCAGGCGCAGATGAACCGGGTTGCGACAAGCTTTTTCCTAGTATCATGTTTAAGCCTACTCGCTCACTTAACCGCCGT